AAATGTTGTTGTTGCTGTTGTTGTTGTTTGGTCGTTGTTGTTTTTTTTCTTGTTGTTGTTGTTGTCTTGTTAGTGTTTGAAGCAGCATTTTGGTTGTTTGTGTAGGATTAGTTCACCGATCTTGTTGGGGTGTTGGTGTTGCTGTTTATGACCGATTGATTCATGTATTTGGCTATCCATTCACTAATTCACTTATTAATTCATTCATTCATTAAATAATTTTTCAATCCTTCAACCACTCGTCTATCCGTCCGTCCATTCAACCAACCAATCAGAAGCGAGAAAGAATGGGGCGACGGAATGACAGGGCTTCTGATGACCTTCACAGAACGGGCCCTCCTCAGTTTGGACGATGAGACCCACATAAAAAACTGGAGGCCCCAGATTTTGGTCCTGGACAAAGTCGACCCTGAAACCAGCAAACTTAATAACCCTGAATTACTTAGACTTGTCTCGCAGCTAAAACACGGTAGGAAGAATTGTATGTGTGCGCGTGTGTGTGTATGTGTGCGTGTGTGTGTGTGTGTGCGAGCGTGTCTGCGTGTGTGTGGTAAGGTTGGATTGGTTGGCACGGGATGTGATAGAACGTAATGAAATAAGGTCTTTTAGTCGTTGTTGAGATCTTTATGTGACCAGCACTGTACAAATCAACCGTTGCATTGTAATGTATTTTAGTATACTGTATTGCACTGTATTGTACTGCAAAAATGAACAACTACAACTACTACTCAAATGGAAGTACATTTTTAATGATAAGTGTCTTTACTGATAAGTATCTTTACTGATTTACACACACACACGTACACACACACGTACACGCACACATACACGCACACGCACCTCTTTACTTACTAACTGACAGGACGAGGTCTCAGCATCGTTGCAACCGTCCTCACTGGAGACTACCTGTCTAATGTCGAGAAGGCAGACTCAGTAAAAAAAGTAATAATAATAATAATAATAAAAATGACAATAATAATAATAATAAAAGTAATAATAGTAATAATAATAATAAATAGTTGTTAACAATAGTAGTAGTTAGATAATTTTTGAATTCATAGTGCACGCGGCGTAGCGTATGTAATGTGTGTAATGTTTGTATTGTTGTTGTCAATATTATTATTATTTATTATTAGTATTTTTTTACTACTATTTTTATTATTAATTAGCATAATATATTACTAATTACTATTAATTATTTTATGACGACAACGTAGAATTTAATGAGTGAGCTATCGGAACAGAAAATTAAAGGGTTCGTCAAAGTTGTATACAGCAGTAGCGTTGAAGAAGGAATCTCGTCTCTGTTAGTATTTTAGTAGTAGTGGTGGTAACTGCTACTGCTGCTGCTGCTGCTGTTATCTTAGGTGTAGTAGCAGCTAGTAGTAGTAGTATCTTTTTCTTCATCATCAACATCCTTTTCTTCATCTTCACCTTCTTCATCACCATCATCTCTACCATCATCTGTTTGTATTTTAGTAGTAGTAGTAGTGGTAGTAACTGCTACTGTTGCTGTTATCGTAAGTGTAGTGGCAGCTAGTAGTAGTAGTATCATCATCATCTTCATCACCACCCTTTTCTTCATCTTCCTCATCACCATCATTTTTACCACCATCTTCTTCACCATCATCGCCGTTTTTATCATCGCCATCAGGGTGCAGTCTATAGGTATAGGTGCAATGGTGCACAATACGGTGCTCATATGCTGGCCACATGATCACTCAGCAGAGGTGCAACATACATTCATAAGTAGGTAGACTATGAAGCTGTTCATCTTGTCGTTTTTGTCGTTGCCTTTGTGATAAAATTAACTCTGACAGTTATTTCATTCCTACATTCTGTTCTTTCACTTCTTCACTCTATCTATTATTTATTTCATTCCATCATTTCATTCCTCCACTCAATCATTTTCCCCCTCACTCCATCACTCCAGCCAGCATCCGTTTAGTACACGCGCGAAAATTGACACTATTGGTGCTGAAAAGCCCGGACTTCCCGACGAAATCCGAGAAGGTTACGACGACTATAGACATCTGGTGGATCATTCACGACGGCGGGATGCTGATCCTTCTCTCCTTCCTGCTCCAACAGCACAGGATATGGAGGGGATGCAAGATCAGGATATTTACTGTCGCGCGTGTGTTTTTTTTCCGATTTTTTCGGGATTTTTTCGCGGGATATTGTTTTTGTGGGTTTATCGTTTTTGTGAGTTTTTTAGTTTTGTGAGTTTTTGGTTTTGTATTTTGCAGTTTTTTTCGTAATTTTGATTGTTCATGTCGGTGGGTTTTTTTTACAAAATTAATTTCAACGTGCATATAAACAGATGTGTCCGACAACAGCATATTGATAAAAAATCAGCTGGAAGAATATTTGTATGAGATAAGAATACACGCTGAAGTGTACGTTGTCGAGATGGTTCGTTGATGTTGTTGATGTCGATGTTGTTGTTGATGTTGTTGATGTTGTTGTTATTGATGTTGTTGTTGTTGATGATGTTACTGACGTTTTAATTGTTGATGTTTTTGTTGTTTCAGCTGATTATGGTGGTATAGATTGGTATTAAATTTGAAATCCTCCTCCTCCGATAAAACGTTTGACTACTCACACACACACCACACACACACATACACACACATACTCTCTCTCTCTCTCTCTTTCTCACGCACACACCAACACAGACCCACACACGCACACACCAACAAACAAACAGTTCGATAGCGACATATCAGCATATGAAGTTGAACGGACCTTGAACATGGAGTCGAGGGTGGAGGTGATGAGGAAGGCTGCCGCTGATGGCAAGCCTATGAGCGTTAGTAGCATTGTTATTATTATTATTTTATATCTTTTTAAACAACTGTTTTTATTGTTATTATTATAATTATTATTATTTTATATCTTTTTTAAACAATTGTTTTTATTGTTATTGTTATAATTATTTTATATCTTTTTAAACAATTGTTTTTATTGCTATTATTATTATTATTATTATTATTATTATTTAGTAAATTATCATAAAATTTAATCTAGTGTTAATATTTCAGCACAGGTCTTTTCATAAAAGCTGGCTTGACTCGTCTGGCAAAAAAGATTCCGATCCTGGTCTGTCGCGCTGATAACGTATTTACTATGATGATGACGTAATTACGATGATTGTGAGGCATTTACGACGATGATGATTATCTATTTACCATGATGACCTACTTACCTCGATGATGATAATGACGTCATTATCAGCATCATATTTTTTTTATATACTGATGATAAATACTTCCTGAACGTGATGATATCATTCTGATGATGATAATGCTGGCGGCGATGATGTCAAAATGATCGTGACTTTGATGGTATCATTATTGTGATAGCATTCTTGTAATGATATTCATGAAGCGTGTAATTTTGTAAATACACCAACACCAAAATAATTTTTACAAGCCGATATTTTTCTATATAATATTTCAGATGACAGTCAGGACAAATCTTCCCATGGAGTATATTTTCTATGTTTTTTTGTTTACGCTTTGCTGTTTGTTTATGTTTTTTTTTATTTTGTTATCTATGTTGTCTGTAAATTTGTTGTCTATGTCTGCTGTCTATGTTTGTTGATGATGATTGCTGAAACCGCAACAATCCTAAAATAATAACAACATCAACAAAATACTCACAACGACGCCAACAATTTTCACGACAACATTAATAAAACAACAACAACAGTATCAACAATAAAACAATCAACAACAATAACAACAACATCAACAGCAACAATATCAAGAACATCAACAACATCAACATCAACAACAAAATCAACAACAACATCAACAACAACAGCAACAACAACATCAACAAAAACATCAACAACAACAGCAACAACAACATCAACAGCAACAACATCAACAACATCCAAACAACATCAACAACAACATCAACAACAACAGCAACAACAACATCATCATCAACAACAACAACATTAACGACACCACACACAACGCAGAAATCTTCTATAGAAAACGCGAATCGAGTCTCGACGGACCTTCGACCAAATGAGAGTGGCCTCTTCATGCGAGACATACCTCCGTCGCCCGACCACAACGCTGTCGACGCCAAGCCGTCAACGTCTCAGTCGCCACACACGTCGCCATCACAACCACCTACTCATTTCACATTCACGCCGCTGGATGCCATGATGTTGAAGAGGTCTACCAATAATACGTCTTATAAGTTAGTCTGTGTTTGTCTGTGTATGTGCGTGTTTATCTGTTTGTGCGTGCTTTTGTGTGTGTGTTTGTCTGTATGTTTGTCTGTGTGTTTGTCCGTGTGTTTATCTGTCTTCTGGGTCTTTCTTTGTGCCACTGATGTTTTTATTTTTCGCTTTTTATTTTAGTTGCTTCATTAATTTTTTGTCGGTATAATATTTTAAGTGATTAAATAACTTAATCCTCCATCAATCAATCAACCGACCAATCAATCAATCAGCCAATTATTCAATTAGCCAATCATTCAATCAGCCAATCATTTGTCATTTGTCATCACACCCACCCATCCACCCACCATCCCACCCAGAGACGTCAATCAATTCATGAAAATGCATAATGCCATGCAACTAAACAAAGCTGTCACTGAAAAATCTAGTACAGCCGCTCTCGTAATTTTAAATCTTCCAGCTCCACCAGCTAAGCTGAACGCCGAAGAAAATTGTAAGTTTAATTGGTGGTATTTAGTTTGGGTAATCAATCGATTTTTAGTTGTTTAGCCGGTCAAAAGCTTAGCTTTTTAGTTGTTTAGCCGGTTAAAATTTTAGCTTTTAAGACGTTTAGCCAGCTAAAACCAGCTTTTTTATATGTTTGTTTGTTATCGTCAACACTTTACGATAATAATATTGTAATAAAATAGACCTTAACGCATTATTATTATTATTAATATTATATTATTATATTATTTTATTATTACCATTGTAAATAAATTTTGTTATAATTAATACTACTATAATTAATTAATATTACAAATAATTATTATAAATAATTATTCAGACATGTCCTACCTGGAGATGCTATCTGAGGGCTTAACGAGGGTTTTATTCGTCAGGGGCTCTGGTAAAGAAGTCGTCTCCCTCTACTCATGATGATTTTAATTAATTAATTGATTAACTAATTAATCAATTATAATTTGATAGTTGTATGAATAATCAACCACAATTATTAGAGTTATGTTATTATTATGTTACCGTTATTATTATTGTTGTTGTTAGTTATTATTATTGTTATTCTTATTTGTTAACGTCGTTATAATATAGGAGAATTTCTTTGCGTTTTTATTATTATTACAAAAAGTGATTATTAAGTAATTTAGTTATATTTTTTTGACCATAAAAACCCATTTTCTATTAAATTATCTATCTATATAAAATACTTGAATGGGTGTATATTTTATATGTATTAAGAACAAACTATTAAAACAATTTGGCATTATTTGAAAAAAAATTAATAATCAAATTAATAAATAAAAAAATACTTTTATAATGTTATTGCCATTCTCTACCCAAATTTGTGTTTAAATATTGCAAGAGGAGTGGTTTAAAACGGTGGGCCTAAGATTTTTTGCAGCTCTCGAAGGGGTAAAAATAACTGATCACCGTATGCATGTCACCTGGACTTTTCATCAAAACATGACTTGACTTCACTGTCACGGATTCATTTGACATCAAAATACATGACTTTTTCAATACATGACGACTTCGATTCTAAGTCACTATTTACGATTGATTGTAACAAAGTGCACCGCTGTCAAATCTGTATAAAACCTGATATAAACATATAAATAACTTCCAAACAATTAGACAACACAATACTTTTAAGCATCAAGTTATTACTCACATAAACCTAGCAACCGTGATAGAACATTCATTAATCGATCTAGACTAGACTATTCTGCATTAGTAACCCGTTTCGTAAATAGTAATTTTAAATTGAAATTATGTTCGACAAAGTGCCTGAAGTGTTGTTTTAGGAATTACAAAATGAAGCTCATATATGTCGTGCATAAAAGAAACAATATTAGCCCGATGTGGTACTATCAGTCGAGATCACTCCAAAACTTAGAAACATTTGTTCAGCTGAAGCGCATAATTAAGTTCTTTCTAGTTTAGCCACACACTTGCTTCACTGCGATTTCATTTCGTCTTTAAAACTATATAAGTATGGAGAACTTCAGTTGTTTTGCTGTTTTCAGTTTAAAATTCACATTCAAAGAAGGCTAAGTCGCAACTACAACTTGACTCGAGACCCCTGACTCGAGACTCTTCAAGTCGATTGAGTCGCGTCTAGTTTTCCGCCACCCAAATCCACCCGTTTTCATTAATTTTCGTTTAATTATTCTGAAACAAAACACCACAAGAATTTTTTTAAATTGTTACAGATAGGTCTGAAAACACACAAATAAATACATGCTCGTTTCGATGAGTATTTTATAACTTTTTTCTGTATTTGTGCGTATTATACACGCGCGTATATATATATATATATATACATATATATATATACACCTGGGTATTAAAGTGCTTGTTTGCAGGTATATGTGTGTGGATATATTATATACATAATTTACATATAGTTCTTGTACGTACGTGGTGATAAACATTGCACGTTCAGCAAGACCAAATATGCTTCTTTTTCCACAGATAACAAAATTTAACACAAGAGAGATCATGTTGTTATCCATCCATCCATCCATCCATCCATCCATCCATACATCCATCATTCACTCATCAGTACATTCATTCGTTTATTTATTCATCCAATCATTTATTATTTTTTTCAATTATTCATTCATTCAAGCGTTCGTCTGACATTCTTCAAATGATAATTTACACACAGTATGAAAATATTTTTTCCTGGAAAATTCAAACGATGTCGTCAATTTTGTTCAATTCAAACCAACCTCCTTCATTCAAATGAATGGATGAATGAATAGATAGATGAATATCTTTTTTCGTCAATCAGCTGGTCAATCCCTCCGTCTCTTCATTCATCCATTAATTCATTTGCCCATTCTTCCATTCCTTATTTCGGTTAATCATTCATCAAATTCATGCATTCATCCATACTTTTAATCAAAATTTAATCTATCTATCTATCCGTCTAATCTTCTAATCACTCATTCACTTGTTAATCCATTCACACACATACAGACAAACATACTAAACAATAAATACAAATATAAATGAACTCAACTGAACGATGGAACGAACAAATGAATGAACGAAAAAATGATTAAATGAATGAATGAATGAATTAAAAATCAGACGAATGCAATGGACATGAATTACTTAACAACAAAACAACAACAAATCAACAACAAAAATAATAGTAATAATAAATTTATAACAACAATAATAATAATATCATATACAAATAATAATAATATTATTACATAATATTAATTAAAATAACTAATTACATTCAATTATCTAATTACATTTTATAACTTAACGTTTATCGCGCGCTTTTGTACTGGCTTACGTACTTATTTATAAGATCATAGACATCATCGATAGCAACATTATTATTATTGTTGTTGTTGTTATTATTATTATTATTGTAGTTGTAATCACCATCATCATCACTGTCGTCGCATTCGCCATCTTCGTATTCTTTTTTGATTTTTGGCAGCCTGGTGCGAGATGAGATCTGGGCGGAAGTGAATTTTTTTTGCTCGGTATATATCAATTAATAATTTAATAAATTTTAGTAAATTTTAATAAAGTTAATTAATTAATTAATTATTTACCATCAAAAATAAACATTGTTGTTACATACAACAACAGCCACAACAACAAACAAAAACAACAATACAAACAAACCAGCAAACAAACAAACAAACAAACAAACAGACAGACAGACAGAGAGACAAACAGACAAACAAACAAAAACAGACAGACAGGCAGCAACCTCATTATAGATCTTATCGGCAGCAATAAGAGCCTTGTCGTTCGACAGCACACCATTCTGCACGAAGCCTAACATCTCTCTTTTTATCATCATCCTGTACTCTTCCCTTAACTCCGATCTAGCTGATGGTGATGAAGCTAGAGCTGCTGCTGCTGACGACAATGACGTTGCAGATGATGATGATGATGATGCAGATGATGATGATGAGTAGGATGATGATGATAAATAGGATGATGATGAGTAGAATGATGATGATGGGTTTGCTCTTGAGGTTGAGAGTATTGATTCGGAATCGGCAGAAGAGCTTGGACATCGTACTTGCTGTCGGTTGAAATATCATTATCATAATCAGCCGTATTTATTTATTTAAAGTAAAACCAGAAGCCCACAGGGGGCTTGTGTGGCAACTTAACTGACAGAAATTATGCTGTTCAATTGTCAATTTAACTAATTAATAAAACAAAATTTGTTCATAATGTCCAAAAAAATAGAAAACACAATAATATTGTTTCGTAAAACAAAAAAGAAAGAAATCAATGAAAAAAAGATTGATTAAATTGCATCTCTGCTTCTATCAGTTTATGGATGTCGAACTTGAACTTGCAGTAGGGTCGCGATTGTTGTATATTGGTCGCTAGCTTGTTCCAAGTTTTCAATCCACATATATCAAGGTGCTATTGCAGCATATCTTTGTTCTTGTCACCGGCAAATAAAACTCATTTGCACGTCTAGCATGCAGGTTATTTTTAGAATTAAATCGAGTAATAGCTTCCGTTGCATACGATGACAAATTAATTTTGAATAATTTATTAAAAAAATAGCATAAAATAAAATTTACACAAGCTGCTTATTGGAAGTATTTTGCTTACTTTGAAGAGATGGCTGACGTGGTCAGCCGTATTACTACCACCACCACCACCACCACCACCACCACCACCACCACCATCATCATCATCATCATCATCATCATTATCATTACCATCACGGTCAATACCGCCGTAATCGTCAAGGCCAATTCACTCATCAGCGTAGTAGTCTTCATCATCATCATCATCATCGTCAAAAATGGCCATCGTCATCATCATCATCAATATTATTATCACCATCATCACCATCGCCGGCATGAATGAAAAGGTAAATTGGACAGGGCATGACTTACAAAGGATGTTCTTCTATAATACTCGGTAGATTTCAAACTGGACGTTTCATGCTGCTGCTGATGATGAGGATGATGAGGAGGAGGATGATGAGGAGGACGAAGATGACGTCTGTTGTCGTCACTACTACCACCGTCGTCATCGTCGATATTCTGGTAAAACAAATTACTATAGCCGCGAGTGGAGAATTCCAATTTTTTATTATTCCTATTTTTATTACTAATATTGTTGTTGTTATTATTATTACTATTATTGTTGTTGTTATTATTATTATTGTTGTTGTTATTATTATTATTATTATTATTGTTGTTGTTATAGTTGTACCTTTTAGTGCCAAAATTCGGCTCATACTGTTGTCGGGTATATGCAACAAAGGGATCAAATCGGGTATATGCAACAAAGGGATCATAATGAAATTTATTATTATTATTGTTGTTGTTATTGTTGTTGTTGTTATTTCTTCTTACGTGCGTATCGTGCCTGAGCCAGTCATCATAATTTTCAAACATGCCGGAATTAGATCTCCTCCCAGCGTCATAGAGATTTGATTTGGTTCTATTATTATTATTATTATTATTATTATTATTATTATTATCATTATCATTATTATTACTATTACCGCCGTTGTTGTTGTTATTGTTATTATTCTTTCTACGACGAATCGAAGGGTAGGGTACGGGTCGATATTGCGAAGGGCTCTCGAATGGCGAGGGGGTCAGTAGTAGCGATGAAGAGGACGACGACAGGTACGAGCTATAAGATCCTTCCGAGTTAACGCTATCAACGTCGGAATCGGAAGCTAGCGTTGCTGCCACAGCAGTAGCAGCAGCAGTTGCCGTCGCTACCGCTATACGTGAAGAGCTACAGCCACGATGACTATGGTGATGACGGTGATGATGGTGATGACGAGTAAGTGAGTAAGAATTGATGGCAGTAGATGATGATGATGGCCCGCCGCAGTTATTGTTATTATTATTATTACTATTATTATTATTGTTGTTGTTGTTTCTGATGTCGTTGTTTTCAATTTTAAACTTGACGTCCTCCTCTCCTTCTGAAATGACGTCATATTCACTATCGCTCCTCTTCACTACAACACGATCGTCACCATCATCACTAGCACCATAACAAGCGCGATCATCATCATCATCAGCAGCACGATGGCGATCCTCATCATCACCACTACCGTCATTTTCGTCACTCAGCAAGTTAGCGAGTCGCATTTGAATGTTGAGCATGACTTTGACGTCATCAAGCTCCTCGTTCAATTTTACCGCCATCACCTCTTCACTCACCGTCATCATCATCCTCTTCCTCAATATCTCTTCGTCCGTATCGTCAGCAGCTAGGCATTTGTCAGTGCCAGAGTTCAGCTTACTCATTTCATCAAATTTAAAACCATCATTGATATCTTCATAGATGATGCTGCTCCTACTAGCCGTCGTCCTCATGAACTGCACTCTCCCACTCACCATCTCACAGCTTGACATGCCGTCCTTAACTCCGACTGAAGTGATAGTTTCGTCACTATTTAACATGACGTCACCATTTCTGATATTGCTGTTTTGGGTGTCGTAACTGTCGTCATTATAGTCATCGTCGTCGTCGGGGTCTTCGAGGCCCAGCGGGTCGTGCCCCCGGTTTTTTACCATCCACGGCAAGTTCAGGACGCCTGGTGGATGAATTTTAAATATTAAAAAAATATTCACCTCCAAGTATAAAGGTTTAAAATTATTTTTTTTTTTTTAATTCAGTAACTGACAAACTCACTTTTACCGCGATCTACTTCCATTCTATTAAAAACGTGACACAGCTCATTGGCTGGTTGCTGCCGCTTCAGCTGCTGCTGCTGCTGATGTCTTGTTGGTAGCTGGTCAGCTGACGAGGATGGCGACGATATCAAGGAGGACAATGACGACGACGACGATGATGACGAACGCGTTGGACGAGGAGACCACAGTGTTGAATTCCGTGTTGAATTACTTTTTTGATGACCACCACTACTGCTACTACTACAGCTGATACTGCTGCCATTTACATTGTTAACAGTATTTTTGCTGCTATTGGTAACAGTCCTATAACTGGTAGCAGCCGTAATTGTAGAAGTTGTTGTAGTACAAATTGTTGTAGCAGAAGTTCTCATGGCAGACGAAGGAACATTTGACTTCATGGAGTGTCGAGCGGGAAGTGCAAGAGGAAGGTGAGGATGGGGAGGCTGACGATAACGAAGAGCATACGGAGTAACCTCTGATAGCCGTGGTTGTGGCAAGCGTGGGAGCTGCGACGGCGGTTTTGACATTGAATTCCTCGTAAAATTATTTGCAGTAATGCCGAATTGAAGTGGAGGTCGTTGGGGAAAGTATTGAAGAGATTTATTTACAAGAAAATTTGGATTCGGTCTGAAAAATGGCGTTAAGCCTGGCCGATAACGATTAAGTTGAGGCGCTGGTGGCGACGACGACGACGACGATGAAGTTGGAAGAAGTGGTGTTTTTTGATACACTGGTGTTTTGGCTTTATTTTGACTAGAAAGTTTTGGGATTTTAAATTTGTTAATGTCGTTATTTGCCGACTGCGTTGTAACTGTTGATGATGTTGTGGCTGTTGCAACAGCTTCTGTCGTTAATGTTATCGGGGATGTTGTTGTTGCTGCTACTGTTGTAGAGGTTGCAGCTGGTGTCGATGATGATGAAGACGACGACGATGATGTTGATGTTTTAAATCTGGAAGAGGATGTTATTGCTTTTGCCATTGTTGTAACTACTAATGTTGTTGTTGTTGCAAATGTTGTTGTTTGAATAGTTACTACTTTCAATGATGCAGTTGTTGTTGTTTTAGCCGACGTTGGTGTGGTAGTCAATGTTGGCTTAGTAAATAACGATTTTGTTGTTGCTGATGTTGTTGTTGCTGTTGCTGCTGATGTTGTTGTTGTTGCTGCTGTTAATGTTGTTGTTGTTACTGATGTTGTTGTTGTTGCTGATGATGTTGTTGTCGTTGATGTTGATGTTGCGAAAGACGATTCATTTGCTGACGATAACGCTGAGACAGTTGAATGCAATGATACGGATTTCGACGATGATGGAGATGAGGATGACGTCATTTCTACGATCGTTTTCTCTATTTTTTTCAGAAGGGGAGGCGTCAGAGATTTCGTTCTTGGGATCTTTCCAGGTGATGTGTTTTGTTTCTCCTGCTTAAACCTCTTGTTGTTTTTTACCGGAAGTATCTGGGCTTCAGTTGACGTTGTTGTTGGTGAACGTGAGGCCATAGATGGCTCTGACGTAGCCGCTACTGATGTTTCAGTACTGGTAGTTGATGTAACGAATGCAGTCTTGACAGGAAAGGTGGCGGTTGATGTAACGATTGAAGTAAACGCTGATGAAGTGGACGACGACGACGAAGATGAAGATGATGTTTGTTCACGAGCACCAAAGACCTTCTGCTCGATCTCATTTAACTTCACACACTCTATCTTCTCAACCTTCACAAAAACACCACAGCTGTTATCGTTAGCAGCAGCAGCAGCTGTGGCGGTAGCAACATCATCAAAAATATCACTAGACTCCATCCTCTCTCTCTTCATCATCAACTTCTTCAAGTTCTCGAATGGAAGGAAAACGAGACGAACATAAGGCTGCAGAGCATCACACGCCTCCAGCCACTTACAGGTCTGCGCCGTCAAATGTATCCGGAAATCATCTGCTATTTGTAATGGCGCCAACCAGGATGACGTCAGTGATGATGATGATAGCGGAAGTAGTTGTAGCGGCGATGGTGACGACATCAGAGAAGAAAGTGAAACAGTTGATGATGGTGGTGTGGGAGGAAGCTGATTAGATAATGGTGAGGGTAACGTTAAAGTTAATGGTTGAGTTGTAACTGATGCTGTTGCATTCCTAGACAGTAACACAGAAACCGTTCTCAAATTAGTTGGGAACGAGTTATCGTCATCAGTATTCATTTCGAGGTTATTATTCTTTGGAGTTTTGCTATTTTGGCGGGAGAAAGACTTTTTAGCGTTAGACGTTTTAGCCGATTGGCCCTTCGACAATCCCCCGCCTCTACCTCTCTTCTTACCTCTCCGACTTTTACTTTTAACCTTTGTGACGTCATCCATCACGTCATCCACGGAAAAACTGTCGGCGTCATCATTTCTCTCCTCTTCATCGCCACTCATGTTGTTTACTTGATGATTTGTAACATCGAAATCGTCATTATGACTGTCAGAAAGGTTGAATGCGCTAGTATTGCTACTGCTAACAAAAACACCACCACAGCCACTATTGCTGCCATTGTTACTCGATGATGTCATACCGTCTTTATTACAGCTAATATTCAGAGTAGTAGTAGTAGTAGTAGTAGTAGTAGTAGTAGTAGTAGTAGTAGTAGCAGTAGCAGAAGTAGTAATAGTATTTGTAGGCGTCTCTTGAGTAGCACCTGCTGTAGTGGTAAATCTAGAAGAAACATTTGCTATAGTAATTTGATTATGGGTTGAAAAAGTAGTAATAATAGTACTACTAATCTTAGAAGTAGTAGTAGTAGTAGCAGCAGTAGTAGTAGTAGTAGTAGTAGTAGCAGCAGCAGTAGCAGCACTGTAAAGTGTAAAAGGATCGTTAATAATGTATTTAGTACTCCTTGTTTCTCGCCTGAAGAGGTAGCCCAGGTCATAATCATCATAATTTTTTATCCATTTTTTGTTAAACTTCCCTCTTTTTCGTTTGCCTCTGGTATTTCCACTACTAAGCCCTTCTGTTTCAGTAATGCTAATGTTGCTGTTGTCAGAATTATTAGAAGGCGAAGTAGTAGCAGTAGCAGAAGAAGTAGTAGATGCAGCAGCTGCGGTTGCTTTGGTCGCTTCAGATACCAAATAACTAATGTTTGGTATGTTCACTTTGGGTAACAAAAAGCTAGTAAAAGTAGTACTAGAATTAGTAGTACGAGCAGTATATCTGATATTATCCACTGATGAAGTAGATGGCTCGCTGTTGTGGTTGTTGCTGTTCTTAATGGCTGTTTTATCAAATTTATCATCATTGATAATAACATCATCAATATCATCGCTACAATTAACGTTATTATTATTATTTTTATCATCATCATCATCATTATTATTGTTATTATCGTTATTATTGTTATTATCATTATTACCGTTGTTGGTACTATAGACAGATAAGATTTTGACCTCTTCCCTATCATTCAAACTCTTTCCACCGTGGCAAACATTGCTAGCAACTGTAGCAACCACATCAGAAACATATCCACTCGGTACATCCACACCAAGTGTACAGCTATTTGTAGTACAAGACGAAGTATTGTCTGCATAGGATGGTGTATAATTCATTGTAGGTGAAGTAGTACTAGCATTGTGAGATAAACTATCATTTACTGTGTCTATACTGCTAATATGATATGAAGTATCATTTACTGTAGTGAATGTATTGCTAGCAGTAGCAGTATTATCAGTAGTATAAATACTAGATGCAAGGGGCAGATAGGATATAAGAGATTCTTTATTGACGTTGTTATCAGTATCACTGATATCAGAGACTGAAAGATTGTTGATGTAACTGTTGTTGTTGTTGTTGCTGCTGCTGTTATCGCTGATGTCTGAATAGTTGATGTTGTCGTCATCTTTATTGTTGTCGTCAGTATTACTGATGTTGTTGTTGTTGTTGCAAGTGTGATTGATGCTATCAGCAGCAGCTACAGCAGCATCAGAATCGTCAGTGATTACAGCAGAACTATCATCTTTATCAAAGAGACCACAATTTTCATCAGCGGAAATGTTGATGTAATCATTCCCATTGACGTTGATGCAATTGCTGTCAGCTGCAGAGGCCTTACTGTCATTTGCAGCAGCAGCAGCAACGACATTTATGTGATCATCATCAAGATCGACTATCTCGAATACTTCATCAACTGTATCATCATCATCATCATCATCATTAGTATTATTCTTAATAGTAGTAGTAGTGATAGTAGTGGTAGTAGTAGCAGTAGTAGCAGCAGCAGAAGTAGTAGATGCAGTAGCAGTAGTAGTAGTAGTAGCAGTAGTAGTAGTAGTAGTAGTAGTAGTAGTAGTAGTAGTAGTAGTAGTAGTAGTAGTAGTAGTAGTAGTAGTAGTAACAGCAGCAGTAGTAGTAAAAGCAGTAGCAGTAGTAGCAGTAGAAATTCCATAACTTTCATTTTTCATAACTACAAATTCAATTTTACCATCTTGAAAAAAGTCATTAATACTTTCTTTATTGTTATTGCTGTCTTTGTTGTAACCGGCCACAACTTTATTTTTATTATTACTATTATTGTTATAATTATTATTATTGTTATTACTATTATTATTGACCTCCATTTTTAAGCAGGTCAAACTAAAATCAAAATTTCTCTTGCTATCATAACCCTCATTTACTTTTATCAAATTATCATTATTATTGTTACCATAATTATTATTATAGATTTTACGGGTAAAATTATTATTAGTAATAGTAGTAGCAGTACTACTGCTACCACTGTCACTACTACTACAACTACTACTACTACAAGCTGTAGTATCAGTAGTAACATCAAAAGCAGTGTTAATAAAACCACTCCTACCAACATTACTGAAGTGGCTACGGTCATAAGTAGTATAATTACTGTTATAATTATAATTACTACCGCTATAATAATTACTGCAAACGCTATTTATAGCATTCTCCAGACTATTTATAGGAACACTGGAAATTCCAAAGCCATTTATAGATTCATTGATGTTATTGTTATCAATTGGGCTAATGTTAATAACACTGACCCTATTTGTTGGGTTGTAATAGACGTTATCGTTGTTGTTGTTGTTGCAAGAGATAACTTGATTAATATAATCAGTTATGACTTCATAACTATTGTCATTATTAATGTTATTATTATTATTATTACTATCATTAGTATTATATGAAACATCCATGCATTGTGAAAGCAATGAGAAGTTATCATTAGCATAATCAGTGCTATTGTGGCTGTTGTTGTTGTTGATGCTTCCAATGTTAATGTTGTTGGTGTCAGGGATGACGTTGTTGTTGATGCTGAAGACATTTTTATTGATGTCTTCACCGATGTTGTTGTTGTTATTTGGGATGACGTTGTTGATGCTAAAGACATTTTTGTTGATGTTCTCACCGATGTTGTTGTTGATGCTAGGGACGATACTGTTGATGTCAGCGGTGATATTGCTGACGTTTCGAGTGTCGTTCTCAGTTAAAAATGAACCAAGCGAATCATTTTCATTATTGTCGCTATTGCTGTCATCGTGAATTACTATTTTGTTGAGGCTGCTGTTAAAACTGACGTTGTTAATGTCATAATTGGAAGAAACTACAGCAGCAAAATTAACACTATTGTTCATGCCATCAATGTTACTGTAGTTTACGATGTTGTTTATGTTATTGCTGTTGATGCAACTAATGTTACTGCACTTTACGCTGTTGTTATTGATGATGTTATTGTTGTTGATGTTACTGTAGCTTACGCTGTTCTTGATGTTATTGTTGTTGATGCTATCTACGTAACAGTAGTTTGAGTTGCATTTATTGTTGTTGATGCTATTAATGTTACTGAAGTTTACGCTGTTGTTGATGTAATTGTTGTTGATGCAACTATTGTTACTGTAGCTTACGATGTTATTGTTGTTGAGGCTATCTATGTAACTGTAGTTTGAGTTGTTGTTAGTGTTGTTGATGCAACTAGTGTTACTATAGTTTACGTTATTGTTGATGTAATTGTTGTTGATGCTATTAATGTTGTTACTGTAGTTTATGTGGTTACTGATGCTATTTACATGGCCGCATTTGATGCTTCTTAGGTTGCTGTCGTTGTTGGTGGCGGGAAAAAAATTCAAATCAGGTATAATCAAATTATTATAACTTTTAGCATCAACGAAATTACATTTATTATCTCTACTACTACTATTACCACTATAATTACTATTATTATTATTATTATTACTACTAAAGTTAGGATTACTATCATAATTAGAGGAAGCAGTACTTATAAGAAATGTATTATTATTATTATTATTATTATTATTGTTATTATTATTACCAATAGCCTCGTAAAAATTTTCATATGAAGAAGAAGTAATAGTAGTAGTTATCGTAACATTTGAGTCATCGTCATCATGTCGACGACGATAATGATGATGATCACCATCACCAATGCTACTATTATCACCACCACCACGGCTATCGCTATCATCATCGTCGTTATCTTTTGCAATGATACTATTGATATCTGATAGTATATCTAGCGGTATTGTATCCGTATCCGAGAATTGACTGTCATCATTATCATCGCCCCGACCAAAATGATCATTATCATCACCCAATGGGAACATTCTATCATTAATATTTACATCATCATTACCATCACCGATGTTGTTGTCGTTGTTATGAATATTATTACTATTGAAAGTTTGATAATTATTATCATTACTATTATTCTTATCATCATCATCATAACAAGCTATGACGTCATTATCGTCATCACTAAAATGACTTAGTGTTCCACTGTTATCATCACTGAGTACATCATCATTACCATTCAAATTATTATTATTATTATCATTATTATTATTATTATTATTGATGTCATTATTGTTGGCATTGTTATTGCCAATGTTAATATTGTTGTTGCTGTTATTATTATTAAGATCATTATCAACTTTGCAGTCCTCAAGCACAGTGCTAAATGGTACAGAAATTGATGACGATGACGAAAGATACGATGGTGATGGTAATGATGGTGATGGTAATGATGATGATGATGATGATAATAATGATGATGATGATACAGTCACCAGTGATGATAATGATGACATAGGTAGCGATGGTGAAGATGATGTGAGTATAAATGTTGAGAGAAATGATGCTGACACTAGGGAAGCATACGACGATGATGATGACGACGGCGATGATGATGACGACGATGATGATGACGATAGTGATGAAAATGATGATGACGACGGTGGTGCTAGTAGTAGTGATGATGATGGTATGAACAGTGACGATGATGATGATGATGATGATGATGATGATGATGGCAATGAAGATGCGCTTTCTGACTTGAGAAAATTAAGTAACGAAAAGGGAGCAATAGTAACATTACTTTTACTGTTGTTAGTATCAAAATACTGACCAATATTATTAATATTAATATTATTATTATAAGTAGTAGTAGTAGTAGTAATAAGAGTAGTAAAATTATTATTATTATTATTGTTATTATTATTATTATTATTATTATTATTACTGATACTATTCTTCACCATAATATAATCATCACTGGAAATACTATTGTGAGTGAATCTGCCTTCAGCGGCAGTAATAGACTCGCGATGAGCACAATCGACGCCACTATCGAAATCAGTATAAGGTTTATCATTCGGGTAGTAAGTAATGTTATCATTGTTCAGTAGCAATGATGTCGATGATGTTAGTAACTTGGTGAGCAAACATGGGCTCTGGTCATAGAGCGAGTAAACGTTATGATCTGAAGTTGTCATTGTCGTAGTGGTAGTAGTAATATTAGGAGTAGTAGAGGTAGTTGTAGTAGTAGTGGTAATGATAGTAGTAGTAGTAGTAGTAGTAATAATAGTAGTAGTAGATGATAATGATGATGCTGACGTGAATGTAGTTGGGTTGCAGAAATTGTTGTCATTGTTGATGTTGTTATTTATGTTGTTGTGGTTGTTGATGTTGTTATAGATGTTGTTGTTGTTGTTGTAATGAACTAAATAACTACTACTACTACTACCCCAGTTGCATATGTTTCCATAAGAAAAATTAGTAAAATGCTTTTTGATGTGACTGTTTGTGCTGGTATTAATATCATTATTATTAATGTTATTATTGCTGTTGCTGTTACTGACATCATCGAAACCCTTAAAATAGCTGTTGATGTTATCATGTTCGCTGTCATCCACAGCAAAACTCTTGGCATCGATGATATATTTCTTGTTATCATCATTGTAATCTTCCTTAAAGACAGTATCATTATATGATGATATACCATCATTTTTAATATCATTAGATAGGTATCTATCCATTTTAATGGTATCTGATACAAAAAAGTTGTTGTTCTTGTTGTTTTCATCATTGTTGTTGTTGATGCTGTCAATGCTTGTATGTCTGTATTCTGATTTGAACTGTTGTTGGCTAGCGTTAATTTTGTGTATAGGTATTTTTGTATCATCGTTGTATGCTGGTACAATTGGGTATTCATACATGTTAACGTTACCAATATTGTTGAGATTGTTGTTGTTGATGTTATTGCTGTTGCTAGTGTAGTTGAAATGGACGACACCGTTGATGTCATTATTTAATTTTGGTTCTCCTCTTCTATACTGGTCATTGGATAAAATGTTGTTGATGTTATAAGCACTGTTGAGGTAACAGTAATTACGACTTATTTTGTTGTATACGTTGTTGTCGTTGTTTGACGTCGATGTGCAACTAAAATTGCTGTCGTTGGTGATGTTTTTGTATGTATCATTCATGCTACTACAAACACTCTTGCTGATGTCATCATCAGCTATCTTGTTTTCATTGATATTAGTGGTAACATTAATTAAGCTGTTGGTGTCGTTGCCCTTGTTGGTGTCTGTTGCATCCGAGTGGACGTTATCATTATTTTGAATGTTAATGCAAGTGTTACTAATATCATTGCGACAGTTTTTGTTGATGTAATCTGATAAACATGCAGCGTTGTAATTATTGTAATAATCAATTCTATCAGGTTTTATGTTGTTGTTGTCTGTAGCATTAATAATGTTGCTGGGATCGTCATTGTCGTTATTGTTACTGTTGATGTTGTTGATGTCGTCAGTATTGATATCACTCTTAGCATCATTAACTAGATTATCGATGGTGTCATAGAGATTTTCTTTCTTATCGACGTCTTCGTCAGTGAGATCGAAACTGTCGCACTGATCAACACTAGAAGCGCAATTGGCGATCGATACAGATATATTAACATTGGCATTGGTGTCAAGGTCAACTGTATCGTCAGAATCATAATTAACAATTTGGCCTTCAGTTTTAATGACAAAATTACTTGCATTTAGACCACTTCCCACCCTATTCAATTCAGTATTAACTGTCTTTCTTGACCTTTTAATTCGACTTGTCGAGTAAACAAATTTTCTCCTCTTCCTTGTTTTCGGTTTTTGACTAGAGAAAGTTTTTAAATCCAATGATAAGTCATTTTCTGATGCTTTTCCAACAATTTCGTTTTTTTCCAACATTGCAATTGGAGTTGAATTATCAAGTGACACATATTGGCTTTCCAGCTGATTGCAAACAACATCATTAAAACTAAAACACTGACTTGTGGCAGACTGATTGAGATTATCTTCTGCAGGGATTGATGTTCTGAAAATTTTCTCAACCTCAGTGACGTCATCAACATTTATTGGATTTTTTTCACTGCCTAACCAAAGACCTTTTTTGAATTTAAGAATGAAGGATGTGCCGGTGTTCTCACAGCTGACACCTCTGCCGTTGCAGTCGCTCATTTTCTGGCTTATCAAAGAGCAATTTTTACATTTTAAATTGTCATTGAATGGCACGAATGTTCGGTTCAATCCGTGGTTTTATGAAAATTAAATTAAGAAATCAGCATGGATGATGGCGTCCTAACTAACTTACAACCAACATGGCAACTCTACACATTCGAACTATCTATCAGTACCTATCAGATCGTTTTAGCGAATGCACTACTGACTACAGACGGTGCTAGCAAGCTATAAAATAGAAAAAAAAATATTTAAAAAAAAAGAAAAACAAAATGAATGAAAGCGCGACACATGAATGACGAATTTACGGAAGCAAAAGACAATTCGAAGAACATTTTATTTAGTTTTATTAAAAATCCAAAACATTGACGTAAGATAAGTAATACCCGAAATGAAAATGGTTCAGTTAATTCTTTAGCGCAAACTATTCAACATTAACAATACACATAAATGACATCGCCATTTCATTAAGCCGACCCAGCACAAAACAAGAATCTTAAGTTTTACATATATAAAACCCCCAACATTAATTTTTCATCTTTTTGTATAAAAAAAACCCACAGATTGACAACCTTATAATCCCAGACAAATAAATCAAATTGATGCTTAATCAGACTTAAATACCAAAACCTAACATGGTATACACGTATGATGCACACATATTACTGTAAAAATAGATGAATGTACCAGTTTGTTAGCTATAATCAACTTTGAAAATTAACCAAAAATATTTACAGAGAAAAAAAAACAATTCATATATTCAACGAAGAGACCGGCCCATGAAAAAACAGATAACCACAAGATTGACCAATAGAAAACATAGTTAATTAATTCAACCACGAGCCCAGCCAATGAAAAAATAGACAATTAAAAAGATGAAAATTAGTAATAAGATACTGTAGCACATTAACTTTCGGTTTCCTTTACCTGATGACACCATTGTATTCAATCTCTTCATACTTCCTGATAATAGACCTGTGGCCCCATCAAAATCCCCATCCTAAAAATGAACGAATGAACGAATGAATAAACGAATGAATGAACGAACGAATGAGTGGATGGGTGAATGAATGAATCAATGAATGAATAAATAAATGAATGAATGAATATAAATACCATTCCACTCAAGTAAGTATTGGAATCTTTAGACTCATTTTCAATGTCAACTGCTAACTGTAAATATTTGAAAAAATATATATAATTGATTACAATTATATTTTTGCATAAATAAAATATAAATATCAATAATATACAAACATATAATATAGATTCAACATATTATAGATAAAAGTATTAAAAAAATAAATAGATAAGTATGTAATTTATATATAGTTATAGTTATAATGTTGTCATTTTTAATTAAGCATTGACTTTTCAGTATTATAGAGAAATCAAATTAAGTTCACATTTTTGAGTCTGGCAACTTTGCTGGCCAAATTTTCAGTTAAGTATTGATTCTGTCTGTCCAATGATTCATTAGCCGATTCTGCTTGTGATGTCATACCTATTTTATTTCATTAATATTTAAATTTTTATTTAATTATTACCCAAATTATTTTATTAAATTGTAAAATGTGCTATAAATATTTTGTTTGAACCAAATGGAAAGAAATAATGGAAAAAAATTGTGTCTTTCTTTTAATAAATCATCTTTAATTTTTTAAATCTTTACTAAAAAGAACTTACATTACAGATTACATTATGATTATAATTTCTATAACCAGATTAAATTAAAAACTAATGATTAAATATTAATTATTGAATTCAATACAAAATTAATGATTGCATACCTTTTTACGCCAATACGCCTTACATCAAATTTAATAATCAATTTTCTAAAGTAATTTTTTTTTATTAAAACAGATTTTTGAATGAAAATTTTTAGTTCATTTCTAAATTTTTTTACCTCTATTATTTAGATAATTCCAATTATTATTCATAATAACTTTCTTCTAAAATTCAATGAGACGATGAAAATTTGGATTTTCGTTCATGGAGATTTTGTTATTAAGTTTAATTATAAATTTTATTAAGGATTAATTAAATTTAAAATACCGTCGTGTCACTCGCACATACTCATATAGCACGTCATAATTGTTTACAAATTTGTCATTAAAATTAGATATATTATACTTTTAAATAAAATACTAATTATATTTTATTTAATTAATTGACATCTGTTTAAATTTCTGCCTAATTTCTGACTATAAGTGAAGAATTATTAATAACTATTTTTAACAAATTATTTATTTATCTTTACCTTTGCTTATTTGTTTCTTCTTTGTTTTTGCCGAAATTTTTTTATTTGAACTGATTTTATTTTTAATTATAATAAATTTTGTCAATTTTTTAAAGAAACACGCCATTTCATTAATTTTTGACTAAATCGTCGCGTTAAATCCGAAAAAAATGTCGTTAGCCTTCATGCCTAATCCGAGAACTAAAGCTCCACCGCCTAATCAGGCATCCATTCAAAAGGTTAGCTGCTTGTGATCAAAATCAAAATCAAAATTAATAAATGTTGTATTAATCATCTATTAATAAATATTGCAATTAATTTGATCTTGGTTTGCGTTGATTGTTTTTTTTGACTGAAACTGTGTGATAATACTGACGACTGTGATGATTTACTACAGATTTAAACTTTTAGAGATTTAGACTACAATACTAATCATTTATTTAGTAGTTAGATAGACTCTATCTGATAGAGTAGAAGTAGACTAACTAAAATCTAACTAAATGATTTAGTCATGTGAGATTGATGATACAAAAAAACACATACATACTACTTACATATAGACTGCAATTACCAATTTTAGAATTAGTAATATCACATAAATATAGTAGTAAAATGAACAAATTGTTAGATGCTTGATGAAAATAGCCAGTTCATTCAAACCATCATCGACTTTCAGAACAAAGGAAGAGGAAATGAGACCATCCAGTTAGGGAATTTTATTTATCTTTTTTGATCTTTTGTTTCCAACCTATAATAAAAAAATTAATACTTTACTGAAGTTCATTTGTTAAAATTAATTTATTCCATCAGTTACCAGCAGTTGTTGCACAAGAACTTAGTCTACCTGGCAACAATAGCAGATAACAGTCAGAATGTTCAAAATTTACTGCCGCCTGTAGGCTACTTATTATTTTAGAATAATTTCACATTTAAAAAAAATTATATGTTCAATTATTATTCTAGAATAATTTCACATTTTAAAAAACTTATATGTTTAATTATGAATTTTATCCGTGTCCAATTATGAATTTTATCCACAAGATTGGATCTGTAAAATTTTAATAACACAGGCTCCAAATCAAATGGCAGTTCATATAGGCGGGCAAATGAACATGCCTAACTCTATTGGGGTCCAGGGTGGGCCGCCCAGTGTATCATCAAACATGGTTGGATCTCCCATGGGCAGCAACCCTGCTGGATCCATCATGGGGCCAAATTCTATGATGCCCCATCAACCCATGATGCCAGGAGGTGGAGGTCTGTGTTTGAAATTTTAATTTTCTGTTTATATTTTTGTCTTATATTTTCATTCTGTTTTTTTTGTTTTTCTCCTACTCTTTCTCTCTCTTTCTTTTTCTCTCTTTCTCTCTCTCTCTCTCTCTCACTTTCTCTCTCTCTTTTTCTCTCTCTTTCTCTTTTTGATATATGTATAAAATTTATAAGTTGAGACATTTCACTAATGCAGCATAAATATTTTATATCAAACCACATCTTGCATTGTTTTATAATTGAGGAAGTTGACAAGTTGAATATCTTGATATAATATTAATCTCTGACCTCACGCTGCATCTTTTTTAGGGATGATGATGCAAAATCAGGGCAGCATGCCCCCATACAACCCTAACAATGGACCAGTTCATCCACAACAGATGATGTCAACATCTCAACAGCCAGGAATGCTCCCACAGCAGCTAGGAATGTTACCACAACAGCAGCAGCAACAACAAGGAATGATACCTTCACAACAGCATGGCATGATGCCTCAACAGCAGCAGCAACAAATGCAGCAACAGCAGCCACAAATGCTGCCTCAGCAACCGCCTCAAATCATGCCCCAACCACAACAATCTCTACAATCACAGACGTTACCACAGCAACCACAGCAGCAGCAGCATCCAATGACAGCCACTCAGCATCAAGGACAAGTCATGTCTCCGTCTCAACTTCAACAAAGCACCACACCACAGCCAACAAAATCAGCCACACCGCAGCCACCTCCTCCCACGACAACGCCACAACCTCAACAGAGTCAGTCCTTCATGACCACTCAGAGTAACAATTCAATGTCAGCTGCAACATCTTCATCTCAACAACAACTTCCTCAACAGCAGCAAGCAAGTTCTCTACCACAGCAGCCTCAACCAACGCAACAACACCCAACACAACAACTCAGTGGACCTTCTCCATCTCAACTTTCTCCACAACAACAACAGCAGCAACAACAACAGCAGCAACAGCCACAACTTCAGCAGCATCCACAGCAGCCGCATCCACAGCAGCCGCATCCACAACAACAGATGCATCCGCAACAACAGCCTCAAATGCAGCAGCAGCAGCAGCAAGGACATGGTCAGCAAATGATGATGCAGTATCAAGCTGGTCAGATGATGGGAGGTCTACCCCCGAGACACATGATGCAACAAGGAGGAATGCCAAGTCAGTTTCTATTTCTGAATTTTATAAATCTCTCTTAACATTTTGTTTACTTTTTGATGGGTTAATTTGAAATTAATAAGTTCAGCCATTTGAACCTATTGAATGAATATGAATCTCTTTTATTTGCGATTCTAGGGCCTCAGTACGGTGGCATGATGGGTCAGCCAAACTACGGCAATCAATATCCTCCACAACCATATTATCACCAGTCCTATCCTCAAGGTAACCAGATGTCGCCTAACCATCCCTACCCTTACCCACCCCAACAACAGCAGGGACACGATCAGTATGGAGGTTACATGGGTGGTGCTCGATCCATGGGTGGTGCTCCTGGTGGTATGCAGATGGTACAGCAGTTACATATTCACATGAATGTGGCAAACCCCAACTATAGTGGACCCCATATGGGTCCTGGAGGTCAGCCAATAGGACCTGGTGGACCGCCAATTGGACCTAATGGCATGCCTATGGGAACCGGGGGTCCTCAGATGATTCAAGGTGGCCCCCAAATGGGTCCAGGAGGTCCACAAATGGGACCAGGTGGGCCGCAGATGGGTCCGGGAGGTCCGCAAATGGGTCCGGGAGGTCCGCAGATGGGCCCACAGATGGGTCCAGGAGGCCCGCAGATGGGCCCAGGAGGTCCACAGATGGGTCCAGGAGGTCCACAGATGGGTCCAGGAGGTCCACAGATGGGTCCAGGAGGTCCACAGATGGGTCCAGGAGGTCCACCCATGAACCCTGTTGGAAGCATGATGAATAGTTGGGGTAGTCAAATGAGCAACACTGGGTCGCCGATGGGTTCTACAAATAGTGGTGGTTCAGGGGGAGGTCAACCTCAAGCTGGTGCCGCCGCTGGTGGTGGTAGAAGTAGTAGCGCTGGAAGCCAGGGTGGTAACAGCAACAGTGGTCCTTCTACACCACAGGGTTCGACTCCAGGATCGCACTCCTCTTCCTCTTATCAGGGATTTCCTCAAAATCAATTTTAACATCAGATGTTGATGAAAGATTTTCACTGAAGTTAAGGCAGATGGATATGATGATGACAATTGTTGTGATGATGATGGGGATTTTATTTTTCAAAACTGTACATATGATTCTATCATCATCATGTTTGAAGTTATTTATTATTATATTATTTTAAAGCTATTTAGTTGACCTTATTATATATTTGTTTGTTTGTTTGTCTGCCTGTCTGTTTGTTTGTCTTGCACTATTGATCTGCGTCTGTTGAAGTTGTTTTCACTGTTTTATATGTATAAGATGTTGACCAATTAAATTTGTTCAGACAAACCAGTGTTTCTCTTAAATAGTAATATAACCATCATTCTTAATGATCTGGCACAACAGACAGAACAATTCGTCTACTCGTCTGTACAAATAATAATTTCTTCTCCGTTCCTCCACTTGCTTATTGGCGTGTTGCTTTTCTTTGTTACGAGTTACAGAAAGAGGACTGTCGTTGTTGATCAAAATACCTGGCTAGTTGTACGCCGAGAATTTTTACGCAATCTACGTGTACGTTCAGCCCAGGCATGCCGTTTGGTGGGTCCCTGCTGTCCCGTTCATTGGAGCCCTGGATGTAGAAATAATGATGTAAATGGTTGGTGGTACGTTTATTTTGTTTCATTTGTGAGAGAATTTGTCGGCGGGAGTGTGTGCAATGTGCATGCATGCAGTCAGTCTTGAGTTGGCGTTGAGTGCGGCTACCGTAACATGAGTCTTTCACTGATTAGCTATTTTTAACTTTTTTTTTTTACAAATTATTTTATCAGTAAAATCTCGAACCTTTTCGTCTCTAAACAAGTTCTCTCTCTCCCTCTTTCTCCTTCTCTCTCTTTCTCTCTCTCTCTCTCAACTATTTGATTTATTTCATTAATTTCTCTCCACAAATGATACGTTACAGGTTTCCTGAATTTTTTAAACTCAACTTTTCTTTACAAAAAAAGATACACTTGTTAGCGCTTTTGTTGACTATTCATTAAACCAACGTCATCCATTTAATCAGTGCGCCGAAGTTAGTAGTTAGGTACTTGTGATTAGAGTACCTATAAAATGGGGTACTACAGTTCCTTTGCGACAGTACAATACCCCTTACTGATGCTTTAAAAGTACGTTACTAAATGATATACTAAATATAATTTGGACACTGATTCAACTTTCTGACAACCGTCAGTCAGATTATAAGTTAGACTAACATTCACACGTGCACAAACACATGCAGAGACTCCAGAGTCACATTCCGACAAAACCAGACTATCACAGACTACATAAATTACACACATACACACGCAAACATTTAGACACATACATTTTTAGACTCACACATACTTAGAGACATACATATACACATATTTGTAGACGCGCACACACACATGTAACACAGAAACATATCAACAAGATTTGACAATGATTGATGGATGTATAGAGCAGATTGTAGTTCAACCTAACTAACGATTAGTTAATTTATAGAGAAATTTTTAAAAGAAAATAACTCAGAATTTACGCGAATTTGAATTATTTTAAATTTATCTATGAAAAAAAAATACATAAATAAAATGAAATAAATAAAATAAATTCAATTTCGAACTTGAGTTTTTGTATGATAACAATGAGGCATTTTTGTGATAGTGTGGTTTGACGAAACGTGAATGACGCGTGTGTGTGTGCATGTGTGTATTATTATTATTATTATTATTACTATTTTATTTATTTTTGTGACCTTAAGTTATAGAGATCATCCAGACATCGCAGTAATTTTGGTTGGTGCAAGAAACACTTAGTAAAACAAAGATAAAGGCATAGCGTTTTATTATGGCACGGATTTGTGTGTTTGTATTTGTGTGTGTGTTTGTGTATGTATATACATGTTTGTTTAAATCCAAGTTATCTAAAAAAACATGTTTGTTTGTGTATGTGTATATATGTTTGTTTGTGTATGTGTATATATGTTTGTTTGTGTATGTATGTTTGTTTGTGTATGCGTATATATGTTTGTTTGTGTGTGTGTGTATATATATTTTTAACAATGATGATATCAATGATGATAGATTTCATGTTAATGATGTTATGTTTCTGAATTATGCAACTGATAACGCCAATGTTAGTGATAATCATGATAATACTGTATCAACTGATAAGAGAGAAGTCGAATACAAATTAAGACCTGTGAATTGTGTGTTTGTGTGTGTATGTATGTATGTATATATGTATGTATGTGAATGCGTGCGTGCGTGTGTGTGAGTGTGTGTGATATACTAATATAAGTGATTTATGAAACTTGATCAATTATTTTTCAATTATTCAATTAGATCGATAAAATATATTTTTAAGCTGGATTAATTCCGTATATTAACTAACTATTCACACAAAAAACTTAAACGCTTATCTCTCTTCATTCATTCATCCATTCATTCATTCATTCGTTCGTTTATTCATTCAATCGTCTGTTCGTTCATTTATTAATTTATTCTAACGTTAACTCACTCAGTCAATCACTCATTCATTCATTCACTTCACTCATTCATTCATTCACTCATTCGTTTTTATTTTTCCATCAGCTCACAATGTGTGCATGATCTTTTCCATTTTTTTTCTCTTTCGCTGATTTGTTCACTATCTCTTTTTCTACCTCTTTCTTTCTATCTCTTCATTCTTTTTTTCTCTTTCTATTTTTTTCTTTTTCACTGCTTCTTTCTATGTATGATTTTTTCATTCTATATAAATAAACAAAAACATACATAAGTATAAATAAGTATTTACATAATACATGTGTGTATATTTCACTCTCCCACTCTTATTTTCTCTCTCTCTCTCTCTCTCTCTCTCTCTCTCTTTCTCTCTCTACATATCTCTCTCTATTTATCTCAATCGCATATAAATAGGGAATATCGCACATAGGCTCACACATGTTTTGAGCTCTCTTTAACAACCAACAACAATTTTTTTCCTTCATTTTAATTTTTTTTATGGTTTCGAAAGGCCTAACCAAGAAGCAATGAAAACATCATTTGATCGAAATTAAGAAGTAAAATGTTGTGCATGTGTTGTTGTTGTTGTTGTGTGTGTGTGTTTGTTTGTGTACATGTGTTTGTGTGCGTTAGTGTGTGTGTGTAGATATGTTTGTGTGTGTATGCGTGTATGTGTGTGTGTGTGTTTGTTTGTGTAGATGTGTGTGTGTGTTTGTTTGTGTAGATGTGTGTGTGTGTGTGTGTGTGTGTGTGTGCGTGTGTTTGATAGTGATGAATGAAACTTGACTATAACTATAATTACATTTTTATCAATAACATGCAACATAACAGTATTCCAACGACACTAACAAAAATAATAATAATAACAACAATAATAATAATAATAGGAAGAAGAAGAATAGGAAAAAGAATAATAATAACATAATAATAATAATAAATAAAAATAATAATAACAGCAATAATAATAATAATAAGAAAAAGAAGAAGAAGAGGAAAAAGAATAAGCTTCATTATGACTAACGGATTAATAAAAAGCAACAACCTGAGCAGCATCATCAGATCAAAATTTTTTTCCAAACCATCATCAAAGTCCTCCTCTTCATCAGCATCAGCAGCTGCACTCTCAAAAACATCATCATTTCTACCCTCATCGCCGTCATCATCTCTCCCACTACCATCATCATCATCTTTACCACCACCACCATTATTACCGTCATCATCATCATCCTTACCATCACAATCTTCATCGTTAACGTCGCCAACGAAGTCATCAACTTTGAATATATCGAAGAAGACGTCCACTTCTACATTGACGGTGTCCGGGTGTGTCACTACATCCCTATCGAAAACCGACATCACGCGTGTAGTTACCGTCAAGTCGGTCGATTCTACAGTCGTCAACATCGTCAAGAGTTCGATTATTGTCGTTAAGATAACTAGTTTGTAACATTTTTGTCTTAGTGGTAGTAGTAGTAACATCAGCAGCAGCAGCAGCAGTAGTTGTGATCCAACTGTATAAGGATTTTTTTAGTCGTTGTCGTCGTTGTTGTTGTAGTAGTAGCATCAGCAGCAGCATTAGTAGTAGTAGTTAGTTAATTGTAGTAGTAGTAGCAGTAGTAGTTAGTAGTAGTAGTAGCAGTAGTAGCAGCAGTAGTAGAAGTAGCAGTAGTAGTAGTAGTAGTTAGTTTAGTAGTAGTAGTAGTAGTAGTAGTAGTAGTAGTAGTAGTAGTAGTAGTAGTAGTAGCAGTACTAGTAGTAGTAAAAGTAGCAGTAGTAGTAGTAGTACCAGTAGTAGTAGAAGTAGCAGTAGTAGTAGTAGTAGTAGTAGTAATAGTAGTAGTAGTAATAGTATTAGTGGTAGATGTAGTAGTAGCAGTAGTAATTTGAAGTTGCAATTTTGTGATTAATCTCGGGTAACTGAAGGTAGTTTCATTTATTTTTATAACTAGTATACTCTGAATTAAGTTGAAGTCATTTCGTTGTAAATGTAATCGAAATATTTTTAAGTATTTTAGTATTTGTTAAAAAGTTAAAATTTAAAAAAGCAATGTTAAGTAGCAAAAAAGCCATCAGTTTTAGTCGTCACACCACCAATTCCTTACACAAACCGATCCAAATAATCGACCAAATAACCGAACCGGATAACCGACCAAATAAACGAACCGATTCTCACAAATCACACGCATACTTGGATGAATGAAGTTTAGCATATTATCGTTTCTCCCTCTTGGAACATTTTTTTTTTACAAGATGAAATTTCAATCATCTGTTTCAGTCATGAGCATAAACACTCGCATTGTTTATCACAAACATTAGTATCAGGTTGCTATCTGGGTTTAACTGTTGCAGCAACGAGGTTTTAGTGTTGTTGTTATGAGATAACATTGATTGCGACAACAAAAACATCAACATCAACAACATCATCAACAACAACATCAACAACATCAACAGCATCAACAACGCTAAAAACGCATTAAGAAAATCGCTATAATCAGCATTATCAACTACAGCAGCAGCAACTACAACAACAACAACAACAGAACGTTAAACACAATAACATTAACACAAACAACAACATCAAAATGGGCTGCGGCTCTAGTAAAGAGGAGAAACTAGCGCTACAGAAATCAAAAAGCATAGAAAAATTACTAAGAGAAGAAAGTTTATCTTTGGTCCGGGAGCTTAAACTTCTTTTGTTAGGTTAATTATTTCAGATATCTAGATAATATAATTTATTATACATATAATTTCTAGTTAATATAATTTATTATACATATAACTTCTATATAATATAATTTATTATACATAAGATTTCTATATAATATAATTTATTATATATATATAATTTCTATATATTATAATTTGTTATATTATTTTAACGTTGGGGACTTTGAAATTAGAAGGGCAACGGACGTTGTTTTACGTGACATTTACATGTACTGTGTGTTTGTCATTGATGGATGCTTTTGGAGAATTTTGAAAAAAAAAATTGTAATAAATAAATGAATTATCATATTTATACAAGTGTCCATTCATAAATACTTAATAATTATTAAATTTTTAATTAATTAATTAATTATTTTAATTAACAAATTTAATTATTTGTAATTAGGAGCTGGAGAGTCTGGCAAAAGCACGATAATTAAGCAAATGAGGTAACTTTTATATTTTGATTGAGATATTGTTAATTAATTGATTGATTGATTGATTGATTGATTGATTGATTGATTGATTGATTGATTGATTGATTGATTGATTGATTGATTGATTGATTGATTGATTGATTGATTGATTGATTGATTGATTGATTGATTGATTGATTGATTGATTGATTGATTGATTGATTGATTGATTGATTGATTGATTGATTGATTGATTGATTGATTGATTGATTGATTGATTGATTGATTGATTGATTGATTGATTGATTGATTGATTGATTGATTGATTGATTGATTGATTGATTGATTGATTGATTGATTGATTGATTGATTGATTGATTGATTGACTGATTGATTGATTGATTGATTGATTGACTGATTAATTTATTCAATTGTCTAATCAAATTGCCAAATATTTGGTCAATTAATCAATCTATCATTCCTTCAATCATTCAACCTATGAACTATTTAATATACGTGCAATTGGTCAATTATCCTCAACCGACCAACCATTCAACCAGTCAACCATTCAACCAATCATCTATCCAACAAACCAACCAACCAACTAACCAACCAGCCATTCAACCTACCAACAAACCAACCAATCAACCATTTAACCAACCAACTAACCAACCAACAAACCATCAACAGAGTTATACATGATGGCGGTTTTTCAAAGTCCGACAATGACCTCTTCAAGCCCATAGTGTTCAGTAATACCGTTCAATCGCTCATCGCCATCATCCGGGCAATGGAACGACTCGGTATCGAATATTCGAATACCGACAGAGAAGTAATAATTATGTTTATATATTTGGCTGAAGTCTATTAAGTTGTTTTTTTTCATTCGATCGTTCGTTCGATTCGATTCATTTATTTGTTTATCCATCCATTCTTGTTTTCATTCATTCATTCATTCGTTCGTTCGTTCATTCATTCGTACATCCATTCATTCGTTCATTGGTTCATTGGTTCATTTGTTTATTCATTCATTCATTCATTCATAAATTCATTCAAAAAATTATTTTAATTATAAAATTTAATTCTCACAGCAAGACTCGCACAAATTTTTGAGCCTGGCATCCGCGTTTACTAACGTAAAACAACAACAACAATCTCCACAACAACAACAACAACAACAACATCGTCCTCATCACCATCAAGCAATGTTGAACGGCGAGATTGTACAATGTATGAAGAGGTTATGGTCTGACGAAGGCGTTCAACGCTGCTTCAAAAGGTCCGCTGAATATCAACTCCTCGATTCTGCTAAATAGTTAGGACCGTTTTGTTGTTGTTGCTGTTGTTGTTGTTGTTGCTGCTGTTGCTGTTGTTGTTGTTTTCAATAAATGAAAATGAATGAACGATGACTAGCAACAATTAAAACATTTTGATTTGTTTTGTAATGCAGTATTGTAAAAAAAACTACTGCCACCACTTCTACTACTACTACTACTACTACTACTACTACTGCTGCTGCTACTACCACTACCACTACTACTACTACTACTACTACTACTACTACTACTACTACTACTACTACTACTACTACACAAACAGCTTTCTTGATAGCCTAGATCGTATAGGCGCCAGCACGTACACACCAACAACACAAGATATCCTGAAAACCCGGGTTCGAACCTCAGGCATTGTTGAGATACAATTTACTTATAAAAGTTTACACTTCAAGTTTGTTGTTGTTTCTTGTTTGTATTGCTTTTTATATTCACGATTTACAAACATATTTACACAAACACAAAAAACAAACCAGCAAACATAGAAACAAACATACAAGCAAACATTCAAACATACAAAAAAAACATACAAACAAACATACAAACAAACATACAAACAAATATACAAAAGGATCTTAGATGTAGGAGGGCAAAGATCGGAACGTAAGAAATGGATACATTGTTTCGAAGACGTTACAGCCATCATCTTTTGTGCTGCTATCAGTGAATATAACCAAGTCCTATATGAAGATGAAAACATGGTTGGCTGTTGTTGTTGTTGCTGTTGTCGTTGTTGTTGCTGTTGTTGTGGTTTTTATTGTTGTTGTTGTTGCTGCTGTCGTCATCGTCGTCGTTGTCGTTGTTGTTGTTGTTTGCAATATGTTTATATAAAAATTTGAATGTGTGTTTTGGTGGCCTAGATGGTAAAAGCGTCGTCTCTGGCACTATCTGTCTTACACACCTCGATTGGATTCAAACTTATCTTAGCTTTTAACTATCTTCTTTATGAATAACCGGAAAAAATCGCTATGAAATAACCGATTTTGAAAATAACCGACCAGAACCGCATGCACGAGAGTCTGCGTCTATTCGACTCGACATGTAACAACAAGTGGTTCGCCGATACTTCCATCATTCTCTTCTTAAATAAAAAGGATTTGTTTGCTGAAAAAATTAAACGGGTTCCTCTTACTGTCTGCTTTCCGGATTACTATGGTTCGTTCGTGTTTGTTCGTTTGTATGTTCGTTCGTTTGTTTGTGCGTTTGCTTGTTTCTTTGACAATTTGCTTGTTTATATGTTTTATTTTGTATTTTTATGTGTTTATGATGGTTTTAACATTTAAATGAGCAGTTTTTATAGATTATTGCCAATATTATTTAATTTGTGTTACTAGTCTCAACAATGTAAAATGAATTTATTCGAAAGCGGAACCTACACACACACACACACACACATACACACACACACAGAAACACAAACAAACACACACAGAAACACGCACAAACACACACGCACGCACAAACACCCACACACACAAAATTGCAGGTACACAATCCTTTGAAGAGACATCCACATTCATAAGAAGTCAGTTCTTAGCGAAGAACAAGAGCAGCAGTACGAATCAGATCTACACACACCTCACGTGTGCAACTGACACAACAAACATTCATTTCGTATTCGATGCAGTCACAGATACAATTGTCACTATCAATCTTAAAGGATGTGGACTATATTAATATGATTCTACACATACACATACACACACACATACATGTACACGCACATACATACACGTACAAACACATACACACATACACGTGAACACACAAGCACATACTTTCACTCATGTACACGTATACAAGCACATTCATACATATATAAACTTTTGTACAGACACACTCCCATACACATAAAAATATACATACGCATACTCAAACATACATAGACAAACTTCAAAATGGATTAAATAGATTGCATACATGTAAAAAAATAAAGTCATTATAATCTCCATGAAAATCTTTTTTTATTATCCTTATAATTATTTTCCACATGTATAACTCAACAGGAAAAAATTATAAGATTTTCACAGATTCGTTGTTAACCGTGCCAGCATTGAAACAGTACAACTCTCCAGAGCAGTTAATTGTTGAGACAAAGCACAAAATTCACAACGTACTAAGCAACAAATGTAATCTTGATCCATAGCCTCATTGGAATTGAAGGTAACGAAGGAGCAGATCAATTAGCATCACAAGCTCTCTTGGATCCTCCATCGATCATTCCAACACCACATCACGACATAAAAGTGAAGACTAACGACCTCAAATATGGCAAAAAGAATGGAACGAGATAACGAATTTTCTCAAAGTAGTTATACTCGAATTAAATGAATCCCAATAATGGCAAAATCAAGTCGAAGTAATAAACCTAAACATGATCAGTAGATTAAAAATCTGTCATTCCAGAATTGCCCATTTGTGGATATTAAACAAAGCAAGACCTCCACTTCGTGAGAAGTGCAACAAAAAACTACCAATCAAACGCACATCAATAGAATGTCAAACACACATAATGAAAAAAGGAGGAAATACAAAATTCCAAAAGATTAAAATTCAATTTTTTAAAAGGCAAACATAGTAAGCCTGATATCATACGTTAAAGAAATGAACATTTTCAACAAAATCTAATTGCCTTGCATGGCCCAGCCAGGGGGGGGGCGTGGGGGCTAACCTGCCCACGGGCCTGTTGCCCTGCCTTTCAAAAAATTCAACATCAAAGACCAAAGGCGTAAAGCTAGCCAATAAGTGCTAAAGCGCTGTAAAACTGCAGAAGAAGAAGAAAACGCATTTTTAAACTAAATTAACGCCAAATAAACTTAATTAATTAATTATTATTATCATATAGTTATTGCCATTATTATTGTTAATATTATTATTCATATTTACATTTTTATAATTAATTACGTTCGTGTATTTTCGCCTGGCATTTATTCATTATCTTTGGTACAACTATGACGTCGGGAAGAAAAAAATATGTAAACAAAACCCTCTGTTTACTTTACGGCAGATCAATTAGCGATGATTACTGTTTATAATTATAAATTATATTATAAATTATATTATAAATTATATTCTAAATGATATTATAAATTATATTTATAAATTATATTTATAGATTATAATTTTAAATATTTACCGGCGGCATGGGTCGTTTTATGAATGAAGTGGAGGTTGGAAGAGTGAGGGAATGTTTGACGGATCCGGAAAAAAGAATGGCGGCAAGTTCGGATTTTGCGTATTAGTATCAATTAATTAATTAATTAATTTAATTATTCAATCAATCAATCCAATCATTAATTTATTCATTCATTTATTGTTTATTCACTCATTCTTTTATTCATTCATTCATTAATATTATTAGTAATATTACTATAATATTATTACGGTATCATTTTGGTAGTAATAGTTAATAGTAATAGTCTGCTGCTATTATTACTATTACTGCTGCTACTACTACTACTGCTGCTGCTGCTGCTGCTACTACTATTACTGCTGCTACTACTACTACATACTACGACATCATCATCATCACTCTCATGTGGTCAGGTAGGCCGGTCAATTGCAGAACAGAGAAGGGGTCAATGACCCTTCGTTCCACTGACCATGTCTACAGGGAGGGGGTCTATGTTCATGGATGGTTTGAAGGAATGAGTGAATGAATGAATGGTTGAATGTATGTATGAATGAATAAACGAATGAATAGATGAACAAGTAAATGATTGAATGAATGAATGCATGATGATTACGCGAATGAATGAGTGAATGAATGAGTGAATGAATGAGTAAGGGAGTGAATTAATGAATGAAAAAACTGAATTATTGGTCAAATTAATTGACGGACGGTTGGTAAAGAAATAAATGAATGAATAAATAAATAAATAAAATATGAATTAAACAAAATTTTAAAAAAATTGAACGAAAGAACGAACGAAGAAAATTGTATAAATTAAAGCGAAATAAAATTTGATCCATTACGGATAGGTACCCTGAGTCTTATCCAAAAGATCACGATTTCAAATGGGACTGTCCTAGATCGCTATTCCGATCAACTTACCAGAGATTTGCTGAAAAAGATAAAGTATTGAAATGATGGATAGACGGATGCTTCATGAATGAATGAATGAATGGATAATTGAAAGAGTGAATGAAGAAATGAATGAAGCAATGAGTGAATAAATGGATGAATGAATTATCAGCCAACCCCACCGAGCCACTACACGGCAACGAATGATGAAATGTTTCGATTGAAAGCTCAACCATTGCCGGCATGCTCACACAGAAACATGCTGATACCTGAAGAAAGTCTTTGCATTATGATCGATAGGTTTGTAGTATTGGTAGTAGCAGTAGTAACTACTCATACCACTTTTACTACTACTACTAATAGTAGTAGTAGCAGCAACAGTAGTAATAGTAGTTCTGATGGAAAAAAAACTAACAATCAATAAACAAAACCGCCCAAACAAAGAGAACTGGAAGTAGCGAAGGAATCAAATTCCTGTAAAAACATTCTGCCGAAACATTTGAAGGACCCATTGAAATTTTACGACCTCACCACTAATGTCGACACGTATCGTCTGCAGCTACCACTTATTGAGGTCGGCGTTTTGGTATTTTTCAGATGCATCGACAACAAATACACAAAGACGGATTTAACAATTACAACATCGCTCCATATTTTGTGCTTGCCGTTGTCGTTATGGTTGTTTTTGTGACAATATAACTTTGAAATAATAATCGGCTTACAACCAAGTTTAAACATTAAAACGAGACTTTTTACTCAAATTTTCCCAGACAAATGTTTAACACACAACATAAAACTTTTTATAACTAAAAATCCGTATCCAGCTATAAAATAAATCACCAAAAAAAATCTCAACCTCAGACCAAAAACGAAAAGCAACGAAAATACGAAGAATCCCAAAAAGAGGACTTGGAAAGGACAAAATTCCTCAGCCTCTGCAACCGGAAACCAGTATCCCAATTTACGGATCTCGACGGACGGAAGAGGGATGGAGTGAATGTGTGGATGGATGATAGTGGGGTGTACTTTAACACCGCTTACAGAATGAAGAACCCCGTGTATTATAAGTTTGTGTCCCCGTACACTGAAAGAGTATAATTGTATTGTTTGCGTGTGTGTGTGTACGTGAATGTGTTGTTTGTGTGCGTGCGTGTGTATGTGTTGTTTGTGTGCGTGCGTGCGTATGTGTTGTTTGTGTGCGTGCGTGTGTATGTGTTGTTTGTGTGTGGCTGATTATTCACTCTTGTTTGTTGTTTTTAGTTGCTTAGTTGTTGTTGATGATACGATAGAATTATTGAATTGAAAGACAAAGCCAACTAACACATAATCGATTGTTGACACATTTAATTATTAAGTTGCTCATTTCATTATTACAATTAATTATAAAATAATAATTATTAAATCCATTTATTTATTCTTTTTTATCTATTTATCCATTTATTAATTTATCCAATTTAGCGTACTCTTATTTCAATTCAGTCAGTATATCGGATTATAAGAGTAATAATAGTAGTAGTAGTAATAATAATAATAATAATGAATAATAAAATTATTAAACATAAAATAATAAACTATTATATATGGCAATAAAACTAATAAATTCATTGAAACCGTTATTTAAGATTCAACAATAAAATCAACTTTATACATATAACACACACACACACACACACACATATATATATATATATTGTAATATGAATTATATATGTTTATATATATATATACATACAGTCCTTTAACAAGTTAGGAAATTAGTTAAGAAAACGAAAGAAGAAAAAATGGCATACGGTTCTTTAAAAAATTCAATTAAAATCGCAAAGTAAAGTACAGTTACGTCGTTTTAACGTAATGTTGCGTCATTGTAATGTGGCGCCGTGTAAAGTTTAATGTAATGTAAGGTGTCTTGATGTGTTGTAATGTAGTCTGTAATTTCAAAGTAAGAGAAACAAACAAACATCTAGCATCTAAATCTATCACATTATAATACAATTTCATAAGCATTTATGTAATATACAACGGCAGATAAAAGAATTTTCACAAATTGAATATAAAATACCAAGAAATACCGAAACACCACAGGCACACGCGCGCGCACTCACATTCACCACACACACACACACACACACACACACACACACACACACGTTCACAGGCACACACACGCTTACCGAATGACAAACTATAAATAAATTTAACGTGCCATCACTGACTCGTATGAATTCACAGGAAGTGATTTTAATAGAGGATAGTCAGAAATTTTATAAATAATTTTCCCATTAAATAAAGCAAGGTTAAAAGAAACGAACACACACGTACACAAACACACTATCACAAGAACACACACACACACGCGTTTTATACATAGACAGACAAACACACAGAGAGAGAGAGAGAGAAGAGAGAAAAGGATTAAAATCAATCAATTTGAACAAGCGAATTCGAATAATTATAATAAAATAAAAAAAACAAATAAACTAAAATAATCACACTATAAAATTTCACACTACTACAAATAATAATAACAATAATGATGATAATTATTATTATAACTATAATAATAATAACAATAATATATTTGAAACTGTTTTATCATAGGTTAAAAAATGATAATAATAGAATTAAAATCAATAATATCGAATAAAACACAATAATATTGAATTAAAAAAAATAATAGATGAAATGATTGCAGTCCGTTGGTTAGTTGACTGATTAATTAATTAAGTAATTTAATTAATTAATTAATTAACCGATTATTTTACAAACGTATACACGTACAATTTTTTTAAAACAGTTCACCAATCACACTATTTCAAGAAAAAAAGCAATACAATAAAACAATTTGCTTATTTACTTATAAAAAGATTGAAGTAACCATGTAAGCATACACACAGACACAGGCAAACACAGACACACATACGAGCACACACACACACACAAACTGCCGAGTCGACAAACTATCGATAAAAAATAATTAATTTTGCTTTTATAATATTATTTCATTCATAATAAAAATAGCTACACTAGTACTACCATTACTAATAGCAATAAAAACGATGATAATAATAGTGTAAAAAGTGTAATGGTTTAGTATTAGCAGTGGCAGCAGCAGCAGTAGTAGTAGTGACAGTAGTAGCGGAGAAGTAGTAGCAGTAGTAAAAGTAGTAGTAGTAGTAGTAGTAATAAATAATAAAAGTAGTAGTAGTACTTAGAAAGTAGTAGTAGTAGTACTTTAAACTTTGCTAGAAGAGAGTAGGTTGAATATTTCTTTAAGTAAATCTTTGTTGAAAAAAACTTGATCCTTCATCTTCTTCTTTATATCTGGAAATAAAACCAAAACACCACTTAAAGTTTTACGTTTGTTGTTTTTTGATTTAAAAAAAAATTATTAAAATAATTATGACGTAATTATGAATTAATTATGACGCGATGATTTGAAATGATAATAAAATTGTGATCAGATTGGAGGATGTTAAACGAAGCATAGAGCAAATGATATCATCGAACTTGTCTTTATCTCCTCGTCCCGGCCATCATTCTTGTCCTTGATGAAGAGGTTGATCAGTCCCTCGATGAAAGCCTCATCCAACTTCACAATCATTCCGCTGCAATCTTCCTCCGCGTCTAACTTGTACCCGAGACACGGATTGTGAGGCGGGCAATTAAGCAGCTGAATGTCGGATCTTTTTTCCCTAACTTGGGGGATGTCAGAGAAACTTAGTAGGGTCTCCTTTCTGGCAGTTTCACTAACGTCATTAAGGGTTGTTGTGTTGCTAACCAGGGTGTTGTTGTGCTGTCCATTGACCAGCGTATCCAACTTATTGGCGGTCGGTTGCTCAGTTAGTGTGGTGTGGTAGGAGTTCCCTAATGACTGCAAACACTTCTGAGGCGTGCTGGCCGCCGCCGGCATACTCATGCTCTGCAAGCTGTAGCTAAGGGGAGGCGGTTTTATTTGATTGACAGATGACTCGTACGGAGAGTGATTCAATGTCTTGTTGCTGGTGGACATTGACGAAAAGATCAGCTGTTTGGGCGCGTGCTTCATTTGGTGGCACTTGCCATGTCTTGGTGCTGCCGTTGCTGCTGCTGCTTCCGATGAGGCCTCTGACTGTGCTGACATGTGGCATTTGCCATGATGGAACTGTTTCAGTGCTGACGACGTCGCCTTACCCACGTCCGCCATGTCAAAATGGACATTGCCAGGTACCTTGGGGGCATCAACTGACTTTGGCTGAATGTTAGGAGGTGGATGGACAGGGGTAGGTGTCATGAGGAGTAGGGAGTTCTTCTTCTTGTGTGGGTCAGACATCGGTGTTGAATTTATTATGGACTTGATGGCTCTGTTTCGTTGAAAGGTTTTCAAATTTCATACATTTATCTCTTCACAGTCATGAAAAACTGAATGAATATAAAATTAAATGGTGACGCCAAACTAAATGGTAATGCTAAACATATGTAAACAACTCTTACTTTGTTGCTAAAAAGATATACCAAGCAGATACAACACAACTCACCCCATGTCTTCAGCAAACGTCGTCTTCAAGTAACTGACTTCCTCCTTGCCTTTCATCAAACTTTCATCCTTCTTGTTCTTTGTAGCATCATCAGCAAGGGCAGCAGATGTAGCAGCAGCAGTTGTAGCAGCAGTAGTTGCAGCAGTAACATTTTCATGACAACTGATGAACTTATTGGAGTCAGAGTCCATCAGTAAAGATGGCGTACTGATACTAAGTATCATCTGCTTGTTTGCCACATTTTCCAAATTTACAACTTCATCCATCTCTCTGCTCCGATTTGACAATGATCCACCTGAGTCATTCAGACAGCCTGCATTCATTCCTTTCTGGAAGTTAGTTACCGGCTGAATTTTTGGACTGTTGAGTTTGTTAAGTCCTGATGGAGGCAGTAACGAACATTTGTCGATTGGTTTGTTCTTGAAATTTGATGTAGCCACAGACATATCGAGGTTGAGAATGTTGGGCAGAGCTGTCGACTGATGCATGGACTGCTGGGAGAGAGTCATGTTGTTGCTCACTGTCTGGGCACACGTCAGAGCGGGTGGGGGGAAAGAGAACTGATTGACAAATCTTCCAGGAGTGCTTGTGTACGAGTAAGTGTTCTGCATGCCCTGGGGTGGCGAGCCCATCTGTCGGAAGACCACTGGAGTCATCTGAAATCCAACTGAATAATTAGGGCATACGACTTCGTTTGGCATGACGCTGTTCATCTGTGGAGGACAGATGATGCCTCCCATCGAATAATCAATGTAACCACTGAACTGAGGTTCATATTTCATGGAATTGGAATCAAATGAAACTTGTGCAGGGGTGCTGTAATGTGAAGGAGGTGTCGAGTAACCATAAGGACCTTGAGGAGTTTGGGGGAAGGTCAAATTAGGAGGAATCAATGACGGGACAAGTTGGGTGACAGGCATAACGAATGGTGATGAATTGGTATCTATAAAACTGGAATTGGCAGAAGAATATTCTTGAACCTTGAAACCAACCGGCTTGCTATCTGACTTGTTGAAGGATGATGAAAGGTTGTCTGATGTGCTGGCAATGCTTAGACTTCCACTCTGGTAACTTAGATTGCTGGATACCGTTCCAATCTGATTGTACTTTGAAGAGGAGATGGGTGATGATATGTTAGACATGTGAGGATAATAATTTGGAGAGAGGCCAGCAGCACAATTGTGAGCAGCATGTGAGTGTCTCTCTTTGGATGATGGTAAGTTGTCATGAATGACATTCTTCTTGCTCTTTCTGTCACTTGGGTAACCAGGACTGTGTTCTAACCTGCCTTTTATGCTGTAACTCTTTTTGTTGTTGTTCTGGTCTGTATTACCTAAACTAGCAGGTGAAACCTGAGTGGTTGACATCTGTTGGAGACTGTCCTTCTCCAAGTCTGAGCAGGAAACAGCTCCTGGTAGGTCAAGTGAGATAGAGGCGCGATCACTCTCATCGACGTATTGGTCCAAATCTGTCAATAAACTTCTTATTGTCTTTTTCAAATCATCTTTCTGTGGCCTGTCTCTAACAGGTTTTAGTTTGTTTGAACTGTTGTTGTTGTTATTGTTGTTGAAGCTGATGGCATTGAAACTGGAGTTAGCAACGTCACAGTTTGAAGATGGAGAGCTCTCATCATGTCCGCTCGAAGTTGTGTGGCTGAAGGAATTTGGGGTGGATGTAGAAATGGTAGAAATTGAAATGTTTGAATTATCTTCCTCATCCTCTTCCTTGATACTAGATGATGCTGCCAGGACTTTTCTGTGAGAAGCATTTAATTCTAAATATTTCTCTGCCTTCTTCAACTTTCTACTAAACCTAGGAGGGAGATCTGTCATATGCTTTAGAGCAACTTTCAACTGACCTGGGTAATACTTTTTTGGCATTTTGTAATTAACTGGCTTCAGTTCCCCAGAAGCTGAGTCGCTTTGGCTGTCATCTTGTGACTTTTTTGAGGGACTAACATTATTTTGTAGACCGTCATCATCGTCTGAGGACCCACTCTCGCTGTCACCCATTCCTCCATCGATAATGACTTCCTCGACTAAGTTTTCTAAAGCTTCTCTCTCTTCTGGGTTTAGTGAAAGTGTTTTTTTTCTACTTCCACGTTTGGGTATGGCAGAGTTGTTGTTGCTACTGTTGTATCGTTTGTTGCTGATAGCAGGGCTATGTTGTTGCTGTTGCTGCAAGTCATTAGGAGAATTTGAAAATGTGACATTTTTATTTGCTGTGTTACTGTTATTGGTGTTTAATTCTTGTGACATTATTATAATAATGAACTTCAGCACTCGCTGTTTCTGTAGTTTTCACTTTTTATTAATTAAATTAAATTAAACTCTTGTGGTGTTTATTTTGTTCTTTTGCTGTTTTAAAAATTTTTAAGGCTTTTTTTAAGTAACTGCTGTGACATATTTTTTGTGACTTCTTTACGACTTTAGTTTCTGCAAAAAATAACAGGTCAACAATTAAAATTTAACAAGGCAGTAGAATTAAAAATTGCAAAACCAGTGACTGCAAACTAACTCGTCACTAATTGACACCTTTATGGCGGACAAATTAGTGAAAAAAAAAATGAACGCCACATGCTGTGTGAATTCTGAAACATGTCAAACAAAATTCTAAAATAAAATTGCCTAACAAAAAATGAACGATTTTGAAGAATATTTCGCACGGAGAAGGTTAACATCACTCCCACAGTACCACAAAAACATTCTAAATACTAACAAATTAGTGAAAAACGGTATATTTATTAAATTTAATGCGTGTCAGTTAGAGTTTTAAGAGGGATTGTTTATATATTTTTTAACAAAAGTAAAATTATCACGTATATAAGTAGCTTTCAAACTCAAAAACCATGCGTTCGCTACTGTACCTTGCTAAAGTTTTTCATTTTGAAATAAATTTAATTAAAAAAATTATCATTTTTTACATTATTTATGATGAAGAATTTTTAATTTTAATAAAGTTTGTCTATATATCTATTACAAACAACATATTATTTAATACCAAATGTCATTAATTAAACATATTCAATGTTTAATAACATTAATAGTGTTTTAAAACATTAATAAAAACACATTTTTAACTATGTTTATTTGAGCAACGAAAAAACAAAAGTTTTTTAATACAGGTAAATAAATATTGTTCTATGATTGGGAAATTTTTTGGGAAATACCTTACAAAATGTAAACATCTACGTTCTTTTACGCCATCAAAGAATTGTAAACAAACGGCGAAATATTTTAAATAATTGATTAATTAATTAATTAATTAATTAATTAATTAAAATGTCCGTCGGGGAGAAGTTTTCAATAAAAACCAATTGGGATCAGTTGAGTCATTCGTTGGAGGATGTCTTGTACATTAGGACTGAGAAGTAAGTTTAAAAAATTAAATTATGTTTTTAATTTTTATTAGGATTTAAATTTAAATTAAATTCATTTTGTTAATCAGTTGTATCTTAATTTAATTATCTCTAAAAGTAGCGAATCCTGTTCACTTCATAACGCCGACATAGAAATCGCATACGTCACCTTGAAACCTGGCAAAGAATCCCAGAATGAAACATGCAAAATCGTGGTCAAATCATTGTCAGATGGCTGCCAAATTGAGGCCATTGACGTCATCTGCAATGCTAAACATCTTGAAATTTATGAACTATCCGGAAATTACCTGAACACCTCGACTGGGATTAGGATAGATGAGGAATTGGGATACAGAGAGAAAGTTTTTATACTTCAGTATAGTTTCATGAATGCTCCAGCTTCTAACAATGGAATTTTTCTAAAGGTTTTTTTATATATAATTTTAAATATTTTATAGGTCAAAAATTATATATATATTTTTTAAATGTATAAATAAGATTTTAAAAATATAAAAAAATAATTTATTTAAAAAATCTAAGTAAACATTAAAAGTTTTTTTAATTATAAAAATTTTTTGATATTTTACCACAGATTCCAACTATTTCAGTATTGCACGTGTACAGCATTCACCTAACTGTCAATCAGCTAGACCCTGTCATCAGCCCTAACCACCCCCTCAGGTCGGCCCTTCGTGATCCTGGTATTGATTTCGAAATGGTTAAGAAAATGATTGGGGATGTGCCTCTATCCCAACCAGCTATTGATCTTTTGGACAAAATTCTCGAGAAAAAGGTGCTTATATTTTTGTACAGATTTTTACGTTATGTAATTTTGTTGCACTTCTTTTATAATTTTATTGTTATTATTTTTTAAATCGGTAAAACTAAAACATGTTATATTATATTTTATTTATTTAATTATCATTCTATTTTCAATTTAAAATAAAAAATAAATTATTTTTATTACAAACAGAAATTAGAAAACGATAGCGAGGAGTTATCGGTGTTGTTGGGTAAACTGCTTCCACTAACAATCTCCTCATCAGTTACGTCAAAATCAAACAGCCAATCAGCTTCAGGGGTTGAGCCGTCAAAAACCAAACAACAACAGCCTGTAACGACCAATCACAGCATGCCATCAACCACAACGGATGCTGGTTTGATTAAAAGTGCATCTATACCTGATATGATGAAGAAATTGGAGTCGAATTTGGCTGAATACATCAACGCATCCATTTGCCAATTAGAGAATAAGCTGATGAATAGGCTGGATAGGATTGAGCAAATATTAGCCAGTCAGATGGAAACATGATTAGCCAATCATGTTGAGACTTGAGTAGCCAATCAAATTGAGGCATTATTTTGTGACGTCATTTCTTCTTCCTCATTCCATTTTACAATTTCATACTATTTTAACTTTGATCTTCTGAACAATTGTGATAAAATACTAACCGACCAATGTACATAGATATTAATTTTAATTTGGAATAGTCCAATCTTTATTATCAACGCATGGTTGAAACTGTTGTACCATGTTTAATGAAATGAATATAAAAGCAGTGATGATGACGATGACGACGTCAAAGATGATGATAACGATGATGATGGGAACAATTGTTGTGGTGGTGATGACGACGACGACGATGATGATAATGATGATGATGACGATCATGATGATGAATTGTCATTTGGCACTAAATTCAAACATTTAAAAAAAGAGAAAAAATAACATGAAACATGTAAAGTGAGTCTTATGCTTTAAAAATGCCTTTGTAATATCTTCTGAAGTGATGATGGTTCTATTTGGAGCGTGCGGACGACAGGAGCAAGATTCGGAAAGAAATTTGTGTATTTATATATTAATTATGTGTTGAGTAAAATGTGAGACGTGATGAAATTTAAATTCGTGATGAGAAATTTATAAAAAAAATTGAAATGTTATAAAGTTTGAAATTTAATTCACGTAAATTCAAAACGTGGAATAAGAAGGACCAAAGAAAAAAGTTCACAAATTATAAGTGCGCTGCATGTAGGGCAGTGCGTACGCCGTCCAGTAAAAGACATTAAATAACAAAAAAGTAAGCGGAAATAATTTTCTCGACATCCGGTCGATTTCCTTAGCGTGTCGGAGGCCATCTTTGATTTGGGCAGTTGTGTTGGGGGCCCTCCCGCCACAAAGTTGGTTCTGGATTGAGGCAGCCAGACTGCTGCTGAACTGACTCGTGCCACCAGCCTGCTAAATGGATATGTTTCATTTAATTTTTATTGGACGCTGAATTAGCTATGTTAAATTATGTTGATTGAAGATGAAAGCTTTTTTAATTTTAATATTTTGTAAAATAAGGGTGCAACATAAGATACTTATCATGATTTTCAGTTGAAAAATTGATACAAAATGTCTTTGAATTGGTTGCACTAAGATTGTGATAACATTAATGAAAATAAGACCGTTATTGACAATAATGATGGTAACAAACAGCAATAAATAATCTTCTTAACTATAATAGCCAGGATCAAACAAGTAGACAGACAAAAATGAAACAGAAAAACTGAAACAAGTTCCTGTAAAATAAAAAAAAGGCAAGAAATCAGCGAGAGAAATTCGTTAAAGTCGGAACAGGTTGATTTAAATTTTTCAGGAAGGAAAAAACGTAAAAGAAAAACAAAAAATAGAAAACAAGCCTAGCAACAAGTACAAAAATTTTGAAAAAAATGAAAAAAACAGCCAGAAAACAAACTGACCTCGTGAAATTGAATTGCCAGTTTAACGCTTGCTTGAAGATTCTTTAAGGATATTTTAGAATCCATTTTGCTAATATGCTGCCTAGGTATGTTACAATGTTCCTCGCTATCGTTGTTGTGGTTGTCGTTGTTGTGGTTGTCGCTGTTGCTGCTTTGTTGTCGGTTGCTTGCCCGCGGCATGGTGTGAAAGTGTGCAGACGTAAAAATATCCTCACGTGCTTTATACTGATAAGCTGAGAGATTATCACTTGAAAGATTGATATTATTATTTGCGTTATTGTTGTTGTTGATGTTGTTGTTTATCCGTCTCAACGAAATTTGTTGCGATTCTTGGTACATTCGTTCGTGTTCTTTACATAATTTCGGCTGCGTGGTGTTGAATTGTTGTTGCTGCTGTTGGAAATGAAACTGCTGTGAGGTGTGCTGTGAGCGCAGTGAATTACTGAAAGCATTGAGGGATTGTTTGAGATGTTTCTTCAGATTTAATATTTCATCGGTGTTTGCGATCTGCTCGTTTGTTCTAGAGTGATTGATGCGGCCGTGATGTTCAAAATTTGATTGAGTTGCATATCGGCTGAGTACGTGTTGTCGCTGTTGAATATGTTGATGTTGGTGCTGCTGGTGTGGCGAATGCTGTCGCTGCTGTCGCTCCAACCGATACCGAAAATTATCTTCCACTCCACAACTTACAGGCTGCCGCAGTACCACTCGTTTCTGCATCTGTTGTTGTTGCCGCAGCTGTTGCAACTCCAACGACACGTGCTGCATAGGTCGTCGCTGCAACATGTTTTGCTGTCGCGAGGCACCCTCTCCAGGTTGCTTTTCGAAATGTTGATGACATCGAGCTAATGTGGTGAGGACGTTGGCATTCCTCCTCCCATGCCTCCTGGACATGACGTTGACAAGCGCGTACTCGAGGAGTGCGATGAAGACGAAAATGAGGCACATGGACATCCAGACGTCGACAGCTTTGATGTAGGAGACCCGTGGCAGGGATGCATTCACGCCGGCACTTTGTGTCGTCATCGTAAGAACCGTCAGCAAGCCGATCGATACTCGCGCCGGTGATGCTTCGATATTCAACCAGAAGGACACCCATGACAGGATGACTATGAGCATGCTGGGGACGTACACTTGAATGAAGAAATAACCAAAGTCCCTTCGAAATACGAATTTTATGGCAAGGCATGGGAACGCCCCTGAGTTCGTGTGGGTGTGTTTGTTTGTGTGCTTGCGTGTGTGCGTGATTATGTGAGTGTGTGTATGTGTGTGTGTGTGCATTTGTACATTTGCTTGGTTGCATGCGGTACTCACGTCTGTTAATGCGTTGGCGTTTAAATGTATGTATGCGCACGCGGGTGTGTACAATTTGTTTGTCTGCGTGTTTGTTGTTTGTACGTCGTTACGCGTACGTGCGTCTTCGAGTTCAATACATACGTTAATTTAAATTTAATAAAATATTCAATTTGAGGTTTTACAAATAAAGAAAAAAATTTGCAGTAGATGGTGATATTAGTTTGATGTTTATCATTCAACTCGTACTTTTCTATGCAATGAAATCAAAGAGCAAAATAATTTTTGAAGAACTGATGCGAATCTAGAAGAACGAAATAAAGAATGAGCTCTGCTATCAACGAGAAATTTCCCGCCATCACGTATCACACATTCCGACTTTTAATATAATTACAGTCCCAGTTAAACTTTTAAAACATTTCCATTTAAATTGGAATTAACCGCCGAAATCCAATTAAACTCGCAGTGAGAAAAGCATTCACTGGTCAAAAAAATTCAACCTAAAAAAGAGAGAGAGAGAAATATCATCACCCAGTCTTTAGTATTCATTTTTCAGCATTTAACGGTGCCAGCTTAACGCTTGTCGGCCGCCATAATGGACGAACTGACGAATAATAATGGAATTAAGAGCGCCTATCTGTACAACTGCTGATTTATGGCGGGAATAATAACGTATAGTACGTATTGATGGGTTCAGAGGTCACGAAGGGTTCGTGGATAGAAAATTATATATGGGCTCTACTTTCTTTGATGAATACCCTCGTGGTTCGGTTTTATTTATATGTATGTGTGTGTGTGTGTTTGTGTGTATGTTTGTGGGTGTTTGTGTGTATTTGTATGTTTGTGTGTGTGTCGGTGCGTGCGCGCGTGTGTGTATGCATGTATGCCACGTGTGTATGAGTGGTATTATTAACGTATATACATTTTTGTGTATTCATAATGATGGTATGAGCGTGTATGTATGTATGTTTGTGTGTGCGTGTGTGTATGTGTAAAGGTTTTGTGTGTGTGTGTGTGTTGTGTGTGTGTGTGGAAATACATAATCATGATTAAATTTCAATTAATTTAATTTTAATTAAATTTTTATTACATGTCTGGGGTGTTTAATTACAATGGTTTCCCAACTCTGGTCGGCCTGCAAATGCAGTACAACACGCCATCAATATGGCTGAAGCTCATTTGCTGGAAAATATGAAACAACTGTGTGTGTGTGTGCGTGTGTACGTGTATGTATGTGTGTGTATGTCTGTGTATGTGTGTGTATATGTGTTCGTGTGTATGTCCGGTTAATGTTGAGTTGTGCGTCTGCGTATTGATTGGCTTGCATGAGTGTGGTGATTGTCTGAGTGTTCGTACGTGTATGTATGTATGTATGTATGTATGTGTGTGTGTGTATGTATGTGTGTGTTTGTATATATGTGTGTGCGTGTGTGTGTGCTCTGTGTGAAATTGCCTGCCTGCGTCCATGGAAAATTAATTTTTGCGGAGATGATAAAAAACAATCAGCTCCCGGTGCACTGCATTTAGGAGTCTGTTAGTGGAAGGATGGAAAAGAAAAACAGAAATAAAAAAAAGAAAAAAGCGAAAATGGTTGTAAGAAAATGAATAAATTTTCAATGAAAAGAGAACAAAGCGAACGAATAATGGGAAAAGTATGCTTTCCTTGCAATATTCACCACAAATCTCATTCCCCCTCAGAAACGCATGTAGGACGTATTATCTCCATTCTTTAAATATAAACAAGCCGGTAAGGACGTTGTTGATGATGAGAAAGAGTCATGGTGTGATGCTATGCAAATGCTGGGAACGCATGCATGCATGCATGCATAATGCACAATCCATGCGCAATTCACAATGCATGCTCATTAGATGCTTTCCTATTCCATACTTTGAAATAATGCATTGCACCACATTATTTCGCTCTCTTCCTCTCTCTCTCTCTCTCTCTTCCTTTCTCTCTCTTCCTCTCTCTCTCTCTTTCTCTCTTTTTTTCTCTCTCTTTCTTATTTTATTTCATTCTTTCACTTTGTCCGTAACTTTTTCTCAGTCTGTTCATCTATTTTTGTATTTTTATTTTGTTTTATTCACACGTCTCCCTATTTGTACGTATGATAGTCTCTTTTTTTTTCTCTCTCTCCCTCTCTCTCTCTCTCTTTCTCTTTCTATCTGTCTCTATGGGATAATTCCTGCTTTCCTAATTCATTCTTTTTCACTGTTCTTTCTTACTTTTCATCTCTTCCTCCCTATCTCTCTCCCTCTCTCTCTCTCTCTCTCTCTCTCTTTCTTTCTCTCTCTTACTTTTTTTAATTAAGAAGAGGATAGATTGTGCAGTCTTGATATATCTATTTACCGATATTCACGTTCGTCTTTTAATGCGCTTTTACAGAATTAAGATTGATAATAATTACGCATCAAAAATAAATAATAATAATAAAAGAATAAAAGTAATAATAAAATAATAATAATAAAATAATAATAATAAAATAATAACGGTAAAGATAATAGTGATAGAATAACGAAGAGTAATTATTACATTCGTCATTAATAACAATTAAAACCAATTACCAAAAATCTCTTTTTTTTTTCCTATCCACACACGCATACACACATGTGTATGTGTATGTGTGTGTGGGCGTGCGTTTGTTTATGCATGTGTTTGTGAGTGTGACTGTGTTTGTGTGCGTGCGTGCGTGTGTGCGTGTGCGATGTTGTAACGCAATTGTTGACGGCGTAAACAATCCCATTAGCCTTTCATCATACGCCATACGCTCTATTTTCTCTCTCTCTCTTTCTCTCTCTCTCTCTCTCTCTCTCTCTCTCTCTCTCTCTGACTATTTTATTTATCACGCACACAAACACGCACAAATTCAAAACAAAACGTTGATTGCCAGTACAACACACGCACACTGATAAAAACAAACATTCACCTAATAAGAAAAATGCATCATGCCTAAATCTATTACAAGCGAAACGCACAGACAGACGCACGTACAGTTACACACACACACACACACACACAGACACACACACACACACGCATATACTCACAACTGACAATTATGCGAACGCACGTATGTATGTAAGGTCGACAGCATTACGTGACATTGCGATATGCGACAAAGATACTTAATCGATAACAAATCGACTCGATATTTATACGGACATCTCTAGATTTAGATTCACTTTTAAATGAAGTTTGTATCTTTGATTGAGTTCCGTAGTTTGAAAAAGGAGGAGAAAAACAATGTTAACTGTGAAAACGGTCACGAAAAATTTGTCAATAATAAAAAAATCTTTTGCGCTCTTCAAAGTATGCGCAGTCGCCGATCATTTTTATACAAAAATATAAATATGACAAAAAATTATGATAATAATAATAATAATAAAACAACAATAATAATAAAAATAAAAAAACACTAACAACGACGACGACGACATTTTTTTTCTAACGTTTGCGAGTGTGAAAAAGAAATGTACCAAAAAGTGATTGGAGAAAGCTTATTGTTGGAAAACTAATAAAATTAATAATAATAACAATAATAATAATAGAAGTAGTGGTAGTAGTAGTATTAGTAGTAATTAGCTAATAAATGTCTACGGATACCTGTGCGTATTTTAGCTGAATGGGCGTTAAAAAAAATTTCACAACAAAAACAACAGCAATAACAATACTAATAACAATAACAATAATGATGATACAGATAATACGAAATACCTGCTGTATAGTTTTGAACGCAGTCGTATAGGTAGTGAGATTGAACCTTAAACTGTGGCATCTGCATGTTCTTCTCATACTCAACGGTCTTCGGGTACCAAGAAAAGTAGATAGCATCCATTGTGTATCTGACTATGTGTGTGTGTGTGTGTGTGTGTGTGTGTGTGTGTGTGTGTGTGTGTGTGTGTGTGTGTGTGTATGTGTGTTTGTGTATATACGTATATACGTGTATGTCTGTCTGCGTTTGTGTGTGTTTGTTTAATTAAGTTATGCAAGAATAACAAAATAACAAACCAATACGGTTTTTCAAAAAAAAAAATATTTTTCAGAAAAAAGAGAACGAATAGACGAACTAATGAACGGACGGACAAACGAACAGATAAACAAACACATAAACAACCAAACAAACAAACGAACGAACGAACAAACATACAGCTCTCAAACATCATGGGGCAGATCTGCGTGTCCATAGGGTACTTCTGCAATTTCATGGGGCACGACAGGGTGGCCGATACCCTTTCAAAATTATATTTTAAATTATTATTACTCAAGACAAATATTATTTGTAAAAATAACAACAATAATAATAATTATTATTATTGTTGTTATTTTTTTATGATTGAAAATTCCTGGGCTAATCTAATCCACTGGCAAATTGTAGTGACAATCAAAATGGAGAAAGCACATGTTTGATGTGTGTTCACACACCCAGCTGGCTTTAGGAATAGATTGGAAAGAAAATTGAAAAAATTAAAAACAAATATTAATAATAGAAGTAAAAAATACTTATATTATCAACATTAATAATGGGGATGATATCAATACTGTTATTATTACTACTACTAAAGCTTCTAGCTACTATCACTGCACTGCTGCTACTACTACTACTACTACTACTACTACTACAACTACTACTACTGCTGCTGCTACTGCTGCTGCTACTACTACTACTACCACTACTGATTGTTAAAATATAGACAAAAAAATATGTATATACAGCATTTTTACATTCAATGAATTCTAAACAAGGTAAAAAATCCTTTAAAGTTTAAAATACATTCTAAAAATAACCGAAAAAGAACTAGTTTTTTTTTATAAAGAATAAAATTCAGCCAAAAAAATCATTTGATCCTAGAAATTTAATTTGATAACAACAAGAACAAAAACATTGTAACATGAACATTATAATGGAAACATTAACGGAGCATTCAAGACCAGCACGGCAACAAAATCGTGCTACACGGAGTTGTAATTAACAAGTGAACGCAAAGAAACCCATGCCTATAGCAGGGTAGTTCAGATGCATTTATATACACCGTGTCTGTGTTTGGTGTTGGTGCCTTTGAGAAACGCTACAAATATTAAAAAAAATTCAAACTAGCACATTGCAAAACTCACTTAATAACGTACCACAGAGACCCGGTGTGATTCAGGGTCAACAGGCGGTTATCAACCGTGACCTCGTGAAAAGAGGCCCTTTTTTCGTTGCGTAAGAAGATATCCGGGGTCCAGATGGTCTCCCAACTGCCCTCTCCCAGCCGGGTCACATTTTTCAGACCATCTTTCACGTCGTATGCCAGCCTCTCGTCTACCCAGATTTGCCGGAAGTACATGCTTACTGAGTAGTCCTGGTTCGTTTGACGGATGGAGGGATTGAGGTATGGAATATTCATTGAGGAATTGTGTGAAATGGATGAAGGAATGAATAGTAGAAAATTGAGATATAATATGATAAGGGTTGAGTCGACAAATTTTATATTTAGAATGAGAAAAATTGAGTATGACATTTTTGAAAAGCGCAGAGGCACAAATACATGAGACATGCAAATTATAACTCAATTAAAATACAAAGATAGATGACGAATGAGAAGAGTATTTCAGGAAAAAGATATAGAAAGATCAGTCTAGATATCTACGTGTATGTACCTATGTGTGTGTGTGTGTGTGTGTGTGTGTGTGTGTGCGTGCGTACGTGTGTGTGCGTTTAAAAAAATTTGCACGGAAAAAAACGCAATTTAACATTGACGGTGACACAAAAGAATCCGATGCTGCATAACAATGCGATATCTGAGCTATGATAATACACGTACGTATGTATGCATGTGTGTGTGCGTGTGTGTGCGTGTGTGTGAATAAAATAAAAATGAAACAAAATGATAAATATACAAAATGAAAAAAATACACACAACATACAATACAAATAAACCGGACAAATGAAGGCATACAAATGAAATCAGACAAAGAAAGATACAATACAAACGAGCAGAAGTGGAGAGTTAGTATATCTAACAATATAAAGTAGACAGCTAGAAAAATTGAAATAATAATAATAATAATCATGAAAAATAAACAAATAAACCTCGTTATATCGGTTTATACACACAACATACAATACAAATAAACCGGACAAATAAACCTCTTTCTACTATTATTTACAAAGAATATTATTATTTTTATTATTATCATTTCAATTATTATTATTTACATGAAAAAATAAAAATCTCCGATAGAAAGAAGTTCGATATAACAGAGTTGTCCAGTTTGGGAAAATAAATGAACGTTACCATTGTCTGTTCGCTGATGGAGTAGAAACTTATGACGTATATGCCGAGCTGTATTTCTGTAGGTTCGTCTGCATGTGTGTTTGTTTGGGTGTGTGTTGTGTGTATATGTGTGTGTATGTGTGTGTGTTTGTATGGGTTGTGTGTATATGTATGTTCATTTGTGTGGGTTGTGTTTATATGTGTGTGTATGTGTGTATATGTTTGAGTGGGTTGTGTGTATATGTATGTTTATTTGTGTGGCTTGTGTGTATGTGTGTGTGTATGTATGCGTTTGTGTGGGTTGTGTATGTGTTTGTGTGTGTATGTGTGTTTGTTTGTGTATGTGTATTTGTGTCCATTGGTGGGCTACTCTACTAACACAATGAATGTTTGCTTAAATTTCAATTGAAACAAGCATGAATAATAAGCTATCGAGCACAGCATGACGTCAGCTATGGTGATGACGATGATGATAAGGATGATGACATTGTGATGATGATGATGAAGAGGAGGAGGAAGATGTGACAATTATCTTCATCATCATTATCATCACCATCATCACCACTATCATCATAACTTCATGTGGTTAATGAACACACATGAAGCCTCGATGAATTTTTAGTTGGAATTCTCTATAATGCGTCATCGTCATCATCATCATCATCATCATCATCATCATCATCATCGTCATCATCATCATCATCATCAGCGCCACTATCTGAGCAGGAAGGAAGGAAGGAAGGAAGGAAGTAACAAAAAAATAAAAAAGAAAAAGGAAAAATACTAAAATGTTGAGCGCTACGTCATCAACTTTTTTATTCATCATTTTGGGATATCATCGGAATGTGCATAAATTTGTCAACAGTAATAATT